TCTTCATGAAGTTGGGTTCATGGTTCACATGACTTTCCATACACAAAACCACTCAAGTTAAACTTAGTTTAGATTTTTTTTATATAATACTCAGATACTTCAATTTTTCTGAAATTAATATCTTCATTACATATAACAGCCAGCTTTCTAAAATTTACATTTCTAAAATTATTTATCAAAAGGTACATTGTTACTAAATGTAATCAGAATCCAGAATGGGATAAAGCCAAGCCTAGATGTACAAAGTCATGACTACACATTCCTCATATCATTGGGAATGTTTACAAAACTTCCCATGCTCACAAACTTGTTAGCTAGCAGCTAAACAAGTAGTCAAGTACTTCAATAGCTTGGGTAGTGTTCATACACTTTAAATATATAAGCAAAACAGAAAAATATTCCATCTAATCCCATCAAATTATTCCATTAAATGAATTTCAACACTTTAATAACCAAGTTCCTACGAAAATCGATATACTTCGTTGTACAATTTTGAAGGAAAAATAGAGGAGTGCCGACTGCCAACGCTCACGTCTTCCTTACATACAAGGAATGTTTCATTGCTTATGCGGAACAACTAAGAATAATCTGAAACATTTTACCACTTACCGAATGTTTATCAACAGGTTGCTTGAAAAAACCTTTCTTGGATGCCGGTCTTTTTCCTTTGGAACATTTTTTGTCGTGCGACATCCCTGTAAACAATGGGTCAGACTCTCAGACCGGAAGTGCAACAAAAATTATAATTGATCAGTGCAAACGTCGATCTATAATTTTCCGATTTGAAACTGGAGGGGGGTATTAATTTAAAATCCACAAACTTACTTAAGTTTCTTTCGATTTCTCTTAAACTATTTTCCTAAATATAATAGGTTTTTTGTTTCAATTAAATTAAATTTAATTGAAACAGGTCCCATCATTGAGATAAATTTTGCCTGGAGTCACCAGTACAAAACAAAATCCTTATTTCAAAAAAGTACGTGTCCCACGGCTTTGGTATTTAAAAAAAAATATCTGTCCCATGCCTTGAGACTTATAGAAAAAGTTATTGTCCCATGGTTACATCTTGGTGTTTCAAAGATATGATTTTTTTCGATTTTTTTTTTAACTATAATGAATATTTCTCTTGGGTTTAGTACTGTAAGTCATTGAGAAAAAAGTTTGTGTCCCATGAGTATTTAATGCTAAAAATGGTTTTGTCCCATGGTTTTATTCGATGAAAAAACATCTGTCCCATCATTGTGATAAATTTTGCCTGGTCCCTTATGATTTGTCAATGAACTGATGAAATAGCATACATAGTTTACATTTCAGACCTGGCAAAAAAGATTATTGTCTCTTAGAATATCATTTTTCGATATGCATGGATCTTCGCACCATTTTCAAGGCCGTAACTACCATTGAGGCAAGTGAGGCAGATGCCTCATTAAAATTTTAGAGCATTGTGAAAATTGAAATAAAAAGAGATTTATTTTTTACTTTAATTATGTGGTTAAAATAATATTTTCAATTTTCAATGTGTCAATTTCAGTAAACCTGTAAAAAAGGTGTGTCATTATTGTTTGTCGCATGTAAAGATTAATAATAATTAAAACTTTAGTTTTAATTTGTTTGTCTGTTTCTTTTTTATTTTATTTTAAATTTTTGTTTTTGCCCATTCCAAGATGGTTTTATTAAGATGCCACCACTTAAAACTGCAAATTTTACAGCAATACTCGGCACTCAGGGCCTTTGACCAGCGAGCTTTTTCGTGCAAGCATATCGATTTTGCAACATGGGACCTCGGTTTTGACGGTCTCTTGTCACATGCAATGTTGATGAACATTCAGCATAAGGACAATATATTTTACATTTAGATAGCCATTACGATTGTCTTAAATTTTGGGAAATCCCGTATCCCCAGAGAACCCCCTCAGAAACTTCTATGAACTTGAGACTCGGGTGGCCCCCAGATCCATTGCCTCACTAAAACTTTGAGCCTAGTTACGGCCTTGATTTTTTTTTTAAAAAGTCCATCTTAAAATTTTGCGCAAAAATCAACAATTTTTTATTATATGAACAGAAACATGGGAAAAAATACCCCAAAAATACCCCAAAATACAAACTGCAACTTTATCAGTTTTCTGTTAACATTTTTACATCTTTCCGAACAAATATTTTTAAATCACAAAGAAGATTTAAATGAAACTATTCATTCTGCAGGGACGTAGCAACCGGGGGGCCGGGGGGGGGGGGGGGCTGGCCCCCGCACTTTTTTCCCGAATATTACCTTTACTATAGTAAATGTTTATTGAAAGGATGGTTGGCCCCCCCACTTTATACCAAAGTATAGTGATATAGGGAAAAAATAGGAAGTGATAGTAAGTTGGCTTCGGAAAAGTTGGCTTTATCAGTTTTCTGTTAACATTTTTACATCTTTCCGAACAAATATTTTTAAATCACAAAGAAGATTTAAATGAAACTATTCATTCTATAGTGCACTTTTTTCCCGAATATTACCTTTACTATAGTAAATGTTCATTGAAAGGATGGTTGGCCCCCCCACTTTATACCATAGTATAGTGATATAGGGAAAAAATAGGAAGTAATAGTAAGTTGGCTTCGGAAAAGTTGGCCACTACCCCCCCCCCCCCCCCCCCCACGAAATAGGATTTTCGAGTTTGGGCAACTTTAAATTTTCTCAACTTTTTCAGGTAAGTAAGAAAATTTTTTTCTCTGGTTGGCCCCCCCCACTTTCAAAAACGATGCTACGTGCCTGTTCTGAAGATTGTGTAGCAAGTGTTGAGCGAAAGACATCAATACCACTTTATATATTAAATATATGACAAAGTGTGTTAAATTATTATAATATTACAGCTCGATCCAGATCAACTAAGTATACCCGGTATGTAATATGTAGTCTTTTTGATCAGATAATGGTTCATAGTGCATTGAAAAGAATTACGTATTTGTGGTTTGAAGAAATAGATATATAACTATAGCCCGGCCTCCCATCTCCCTTATGCTCCCTACCCCACAAAAAATGTTAATATTATATCATATTAAAAATATATATGCTTGGTTCTCTCCCACGAAGCAGCACATACTGATGTTGATAATCCAGACACACACGTCATGTACTGGCTGACAGATAACAATATGTGCCAACAATCTTGGCATATATGTACACATTTATAACAACTAATTAATTATGACCTCATACTATTCTTCAGCAAAGGATAATTAGATATTTTCCCTTATAGTACAAAGTGATCCCACCTCAAAGCTAGTCCTTTGGGCTATGATTCAAAAAGAACTAGAGGTACTGTGAGCGATGAGCTCACTAAATGATACCCCCCGCCTCCCATATGGTTTTAACTGGTGAAAAAGTCCATGTTTTCCTGTGGCCGGGAAACCCAAAATATGTGTCGGATCAAAAAGTAAAATAGGAGGTGCACAATGGCAATATGTAATAAAGATTCTGTGAAAGTTTCATCAAATTTCATTCAGTGGTATGAGAGGAGTTGCGGATAAGAGATGGGTACCCCAAAGCGTAACAGACGGACGGACGGACGGACGCACGGACAGACTGACGGACGTACAGACGGGCGGACGGAAATACCGAATACTATATACCCTCCCGCTTTTCAAGCGGGGGGTATAAAAAAAAATTAAGCTTCACTTCTTGAAAGTGAACTAAGGATGCTTGCATGATACGTATGACTTATTATGATCCTACGGTTATTGAGAAGATTTTCAAATATACCCGGTATTTTCCATATATTCATGAACTTTAAACTACATGGCCCTGGTCTATGGCTAGCCCTGAGCAAAATGATTTGACCTTGAACCTTCTCTGCATCGAGAAGCTTGCTTATCACAGGCCTGTTAAAAGTAATTGCAGGTTAGTGTGTGTGTGTGTTTCTTGGGGGGGGGCAAACATTTCAAGCTGGGGTGGGGAGGGGGTTACACCAAAAGTTCAAATTTACTTGACAAGAAAATAAGCAAATAAAAAAAGTTATAAGATGGTTTTATAGAGGTGGAACAAGTATATAATATAATATGATATCTGTTGTCTATATTATTCTATATATCGGGGGCACCCTATGGCCCATTGTGGGATACCCTCATGTGATCTCTTCTTTTACTCATCATGAGTAAAAGACGAAATCACCCGTGGGTATATATTCGAGGATTGCCTATAATGGCCTTGATCACTAATTTTGACCTGCTGTTTGATCCGTTATTGTGGCTCAAACCTTTCTTGTAAGGGCTATAAGTTATAATCCAAATCTGACTGCATAACTAATTTTTATCTTTTCTTTACATTACACACCAGATTTCTGATTCTCCTACTTCTGTTCCAAAATTTTTAACAAACTTATCTTTTCTTGCTGTAAGATTTTTATGCAGCTAGAGTTATCTGCCCTTAGATTCAAGAAATGTTTGTTTTGAATCAATTCAAATATTCATTACACCTCAATAAACCCAAATAATCAGATTGAATAATTTACTTGCATGTATATACCCTTCTAAGTAAACAACAGTTATTTATGTTCATCTGAATTTTATTTCAACATTTTCCCGGGGTTGGGGTGTGCACCAGCTACCCTTTATGATAATCAATAATTTAATATTTAAACCTAGTAACATATACAATATAACTTTCTCAATATCCAAAAAGCATTTTCCTTGTCAATAGAGGGTTTACCCACAGGATATCAATAAGATCAGAGCAATCTAAATACACATGTATCTCATAATGTGGAAAGACTATGTTGTTAGTTTCACATTAACACTGAGGTAAGCCCCATCACACAGTAAATACTGTAATGTTTGAGACATCAGTCATGTCACTTGACATAGGAAAATTCCACCCAGATTCCACATGGAAATCATTTGTGTTATGTTGGTTATAATTAGAGAAACAGTTTTGAGCACAGTTTCTAAACTTTAAAAAGATCTTGTCTGTGCGAATTAAAAATGCAATCCCCTGGAATTCAAAAATAGAAGACAAAACCTTGGAGATTTCAACAATAATTTTATTAATTTATATTAATGATATACTATTTTTCTTGGTAAATGACTCCTGAATTAAATCAGCATATCAAATGAAAAGCATTTTCCTATTATGTACATGCACAATGGAAGCAAGCAAGACTTGTTTTCAAACACTGAAAATTCACACTGCCATTTGTAATCAAATGATATAAAAGAAGTTTGGGAAGAAAACCTGAATGATATCACATATACTTAACAACCTGTTCATTCTATTTTGTTCTTTAAATTCAAAAATATTTTCTATTAAAGTATCTGAAATTTCCTGTGAATAAGTTATACATTTCTTATTTAGCATAAAAATCCATGTACATGAGTTATATCTGAACATTCTTATGCACTAAGACACATTTCTGTGTAGCTGACAATTTCATTTCCTTTGTGTCTGGTAAAACCTTTAATTATAAAAACAGCCTTTCATATTGTTAAAATTAATTTCTACAATCAAAAATCCATATACCTGCTATATAACATTTCAAACAGCATATATTACATAACATCGCAATTTTTGTAACATATTTGGAGAAATATGGCAATTGGTATTGAAAAATTGAGAAATAAATCTACACCTAAATGTGAATCAGAATGGTTAGTAATGAGGCCATGGATATTGAACAGTGAGTTTGAATGCACAAAAAATGTAAAGAGAAAATGGCAAAGGTTTGTGTTATAATGACTGTCATCCTAATCAGACACACTTGTAGAATATCACAATCTCTCCCAGAATCATGAATGAAGTCGTCACAATACAGACAGATCCTAATCAGTATTGGCAAGACAAAAAAATCTCCCAAAAACTTCAACAAAGACAATGTACAAAGAAGCTTAAAAAAAAAATTGCTTACACTAAAAATTTTCAGCTCTAAACAATGTTGTCATGAAATACTGTAAATTTTTTCCTTCTGTTACAAGTGGGACTTCAGTATTTGATTGATAAAAACTAACATGGTCCTTGGCTGTTGATAGATAAGTAAAATATCAGTTGGTACAGAGGCGGGCGAGGTAGGCAAACCGTGCAACACAAACCTAGAGCTGTCTAACGACACAGACATTCAATGCCCATTATATGCAAAATAACTAGATTTCTCAGGAAAGAATTTAAAGCTTGGCTTTTTTGTATGTACAATAAAAAGGAAATCAGCACTTACATTGTCTTCCAAACAACTTGCACATCAATGCAGTTGTAATATTTCAAATTAACAAGTCTGTCAAAGTGTTTTTTGTATATAATAAAACAGTTCTTCGTATAGAGTATGTCACTTAAACTTGGAATACTTAGGAATGTTGATTCAATAACCTTTCATTTATTCATTCAGTTACAGAAAAGTGCATTTTAGAAAATAGCTGTATAATGCACAACTTTTAACTAGAAGCAAAAGGAATACATTGGCTGTATCATAAACCTGTACTACAATATACATAAAATGGAATAATTAAAATATCTTATTAATCAACATGATTAACATGAAAATCTTCACCGTAAAATTATTTCATATATTACATTTCTAAAAATTCTCCAATCTTATGTATTATTCTTTCCATTTATATATACAAATTTATCACAATAGGCAATATTTTACTGTCATCATTATTAATTCAACTTGGTTAAATTCTCCAATTATTTTCTTTATATACCTGAATATTCAGATCACTTTACTACCTAGGTTGTTAAATCCCTTAAAACTTTGATTTTTGTCTCTATTTGTCAAATAAACTCTTAAAAGACATTCAGCTTTCTCTAACAATCTTCCATCAATCAAAACCTTGAAAATTCTAATCTACAACAAAAGAACTCATACTGTCAAAATGCATGATCGAAGATGAAAAATGATAAATTACAGTAAAAAAAACACCATAAACTTCAATAAATAAAACTATTGCCCGCCCAGGTTTGTAGATTAGTTTCCCTTGGCCTGCATCACACATGATTTGGTAAGAATGTCAAAGTTCATTGGCAGTTTATGGATCACTGAACAAAGGTTGATCTGCTTCAGTAACCACACGACCTCTGACCCCCTGCTCATAACTTTTCCTTGGCTGGTACCCAGATAGTGGGCCCTGACTGGTCGCGGATCACTTCCTTAACCTTTGCATAGATCTCATTTGCCGTATCACCTTGAACAACAGCTGAAATAGACGAAATAAATTTTATTGCATCATTTCATAAAAGTCACATATGTGATATAAGTAACTATCATTTTAAAAACCTACTTAATTATCAATGTTACTTCCTAGCAAAATCTAAATTTTATGAAATGAAAAGAGATAATTATTATTTAAGACTTATTTTCACTAAAATCAAGTGCAATAATTACCAGTAAAGTATTCCCCGAATTCTTGTTCCAGTTTCATGGTTCTTTCATAGGTTAATCTGGCTTGTTCTTCTGTTATTCTCTTGTTCATATCCCTACAATGTACAGCTCCAATATAGAACGGTTACACACACAACACAGAAAGAGCCAAAGAAAGAGAACTTTCAAACCAACACAAAATTGTTAAAAGCGAAAATTTCACACAGAAATAAGCACCGTACTCAATGGCACCATGTCCCAAAATTGATTTGGAATTCATAAGTACCAGAAATGTGTTCATGCAATTTTAATACAAAATACAATCAAGTTAACCACAGAACAGAGTTCTACACGTAAGATTTCACTCCAGAACAAAACCCAGAGAAGCTGAGCAAACTGTCATACCAATGCTGGTCTTCTTGTTGGACATAAAGAGATCTTCCCAACTTACTTTAAAGATATTTTGTGAAATCTTATGAAAGATGGCATTTGTAACAGATTTTCTTTATATAAAATTCTTTTAAATAAATCCACTAAGGCAATGATTTCATAACAAAGCCAAACCACTAATTTCACTCTGAATGTACTACTTTTAAAATCAAGGAATCAAAAACCTTTAACTGTGAGTCATACCTGAGCCTATCAAGAGGAATGCACTTAATGACTACTGAAAATTAATTACAAATAAACCTTTCAGACTTACATTATGGATTCTATGGACTTGGGTTTGATAAGGATGGCTACTGGATACAGTCCAGCCACCTGTAGTCTCTTTATGGCATTCCCACTCACATCCAGGATACAGTGCTTCCCCTGAAAGACAAAAAGAAAAGTCAACATTATCTCCAACATCTCAAGCCATGGTTCAGAGTCTGCATATAGCTCTCTCCTACCTGTGGCCACAAGAAGTATCGTAATCCTGAATATTCATATTCAGCCAACGACAATATTTGTTTTCATTGCTATTGAAATCAACTATTAACATCAACAGTGTACAAGACACGTTTCATAAACTGCGATTGGGTATTGAAAGTTGTGTCAAAGTTCATTTTGCATCTATGCTTTACTCGCATTGGTCGATTTTTAATGAGCTACGAAATATTCTCTTCTCATTCAAGCACGGCCAGAATGGGATAGGAGTATACATTTCGACCATGGTTTGCAACAATACATTATCTCAAGTATTCATTCTGACTTGTAAAATTTGAATACTAGTATTTGAAAAGGTTAATATTCATCCAAAATAAAACTTTTACCAGTTGTTCTAAAAAAATATTTATAGAATTTGCTTTCAGTGTTGTCTCATGGCACAAATATGTGTCGTAAAAGATACACTTTAATAATATAAGTAACTTAGTGTACAAACTCTATACTACCAAGTCACCATAGTTTAGAAGCAAAACAGGATACAAACATCAATACAAACTAAGTACTAACCTTTTCTGCCACCTCTTTCACTGACGCTACACTGGTTCCATAGAGGTTCTCATTATACTGTCCTGCTTCAATAAACAGGTGATTTTGGATGTCACGCTCCATTTGTTCCCGTGAGTCTACAAAATGGTAATCTCGGCCGTCCACTTCGTACTCGCGCCGTGCTCGTGTCGTATCTACAATGACCAGTCAGTATCACGAGTTAATTGCAACAAATTGACTTGCGACATCTTGAAAGCATATTAATAAGTGGTATTTAGAAGAAAAAATTATTAAACGTATCAGTTCATTATTATGGATACTATTTATATTTTAAGAACACTTTTTTATTTAGTTCAAGTGAGACTTACGTGGAACACAACTGCCGAATTTGTCTGGGAATTCTGAGATGAGGTCATCGTTGATTCTGTCCTTTAGTGGCCCCAGAATGATGACAGGTCTGGTGTATTTCACTGTCAGTAGAAAAACAAAATGTGCACATGTAAACCAACAAATGTGCAAGAAATATACTTGAATTTAACTGCAGTTTTTTTTAATAACTGCTGAAATTATTGCATGTTAAATATACATATACCAAACATTACCATAGTGACAAAATACACCGATCTGCAGACTCTACATAATGGTATAACAGTATCAATTGGACTTTTTAAAATCTTGGTTTACAATTGGACTTTTTAAAATCTTGGTTAATTGGTAATATCCAGTAACAATGAAACTAAGATTGACTTACACTCCTGCTGCACTACAGCCTCGTATGACAGAATAGGTTCATCTCCACCTAGGGAACAAACAGAGACATAGTCACATGTAGAAACAACAGAAATTACCCTGTATATTTACTATTAAATTTTCCCAATTGTTCATGTGGATTGACCAAACATACAGAAATAGAAACTATTTATTCTGCTTTTATCTTAAGTTTCTTATATGAAGTGTAGATACAAATTCCATCCCGATCAATGTTAAGTTCTGTATGACATGTTGAACTTTGATAATTTTACCCCTATTGAACAGACAGGCAGACAGACAACTGTACTTACGATAGCTGGCCTCACTGTCAGCGCCACCTGAGAACAAAATCAAACTAGGGTCAACACACCATGCACATTTACACAACCAATCAACAACGTTAATAGCATGCAGGTTACCAGGCAACATCAAGTTGCTAGGCAGCATTAAATAAAAGCAAATCAATTGTCAACAAAAATTAATATCACTTCTTTTTTTTTCTTAATTAGCTAAACAAAAGTGAAAAAATTGTTTTTAAAAACAATGTAAGAAAGTATAAATTTTAAATCAAAACATATATATTTAGATATAAGTACACATAATACAAAATAAATGGGATTTCATCTAAGAGAAATTCGCAAAGCAATGAAGAAAAAATTGTGACTAAAAGAATTTAATGTGTTAGTCTATTTTTCTCACATTTATATTCTCTTTTTTAATACTGTATTTTATTTGGTTTATGCTTAATAGTAATTATTATACCTTTGATTGCTTTACTGATTTCTGTATATGAATATTTTGCTTGTAACAGAAGTACATGAATTCTGATTACATGTATTAACTTTGACTTTATTCTAGAATTTCTTTCTGAAGAAAATTTTAATCTCCAAAATGAGCAGTTGTTCAAGTAACATCCAACCCAACAAATATTCTACACATAGCTTTTTTTTCTTATTTCAAACACAACGTTAGTAACTTTTTTTCCCAACTAGACTTTTTATATTTTTTGTTAACTTCATTTGAAAGATTTGTTTTCACTTTTCATGTAACTTATAAATCTAGTGTGACAGTTATAGGTATATTTATCAGTTCATTTTCTGAAGCATTTACTGGCAGAAAAGCTAAAGAGTTACTGATGAATGGTGAAGTCTTCTGATTAAGTTCACATGTTCACAACATTAATCTCATGTAAAATGTACGTAAGAAAGAGTTTGTCTACATTTCTACTGACAATGATACTTTCAAATGTACATTTCACATGACTATATCATAATCTTGGGACAAGAACAGAAGCTAACAAGGCAAAGCAAGAAATTAGCAGCTACTGAAAATATTACCTTCAGCTACAAAAAAATCACAACAAAGAAACAAAATTAATGTCACTTCAAAGGAGTCTAAACTCTAAATTCTGCTGATAACGACTCTAAAGGAATATATACAGATATAGGTACATTTTATCCAACATTCTACAATTTTGAACTATTGAGGTCATAAGAAATAACAAATTCTGCTTTAAGGATGAATATAGGATTGTTAAGATCAGAGATATACACTGGGCATGCTCTGGACGTTAGACTGTCCGGTAACTTACGTTCGTCAGCACTGATGTCCTCGCCAACCGCATGGTCCTTGCTCTTCATAAATGGGAAATGTTTGGAAAATGAAAAATTCTTCTTTTTCTTCTCATTTGAATTGACATGTTGCACATTGCCATTTGTCTGTGAAAAATAAAATTCTTTATGCATAAAAACATCTCTCTTGTATATTACATTCTGACAAAAAGTGTTATAAACCTTGACAAAGTTGCAAGAGCACTCACATATTTAATTATATATTTTGTGAAAAAAAAATCACCTATCTGTTCGGTGTCACTAGTGTTCTTATATTAAAAGGGATCCAATAACAATAATTACCAAAGAACTGTAGAGCAAAACGCCTGTGGTTAACATTTCTACAACTTTCTTACCTTTTCACTTGTTTTGCCTGTAAATTTAACGTTCTTTAACCGTGCTCTTTCTTTTCTGTCTACCCTGTAAACAAAAAAGATTCAACTCAGCTGCAACATTCTTTCAAATAATATAAATTTCTATGACTGTAATGTTCTTTAGCTCTTCTGTATTTCAAATTCTAGTATACTGGTGTTTCATATAAAAGCAGTAGTTCTACATTACAATATCATGCAAAAATTACAAATTATTCCCATTCAAGTTTCTCTCGGGATCATTCTTACCGTCGTTTACTTGGAATGATCCCCATTCCTTCCTCCTCCCCGTCGGGGGTCACATAGCGGGCCTGCCACCACTCGTCATCACTAGCATTGGTTACATGGAGAATATCACCATACTTAAAGGCCAGGCCTTTACTGGGTAAACCACTGTCTTTTGTTGGTTCATAATCAAACAACGCTCTGAAAAACAGAAAAAAAAATCAGATTCAGGGTTTATTAAAACTTTTTACTGCAGGAGTAGAACCTTTGTAAAGAAGTATAACATTCTCTTAACTCTTTCAACACTGAGTAACTTATCAACCAACCCCAAGTACACTGAGTAACTTGGGGCATCACTAAACATTTCACCTTCCGTCACAAAAAATATTATAACTTCTATATTTCTTTGAATATTTTAATAAATGACACATCATTAGAAAGGTGAGGCATTTCTCTTTTAAATGATATAAATTTTATATATATATACAAAATTATTTATCAAGTCAAAAATACTAATAAAATTCATAATGACATTTTATAACGGATCTTATGCAATGATTTAATAAATTTGCTGCTATGAAGTTTCAGAATCAATTATGTTCTTACCATCATTCAAAAGAGAAATTATTTGCGAGTAAAATGATATGCAATATGTCAGAATTTATTTAAAAGTAAGTCCATAATTATTAATAAATAAAACAGGGTGTTTCAGGACATCGGAAGAAGTCTGGGGCATGGAAAACATCCTCTATTTAGGAGCCTTGATATTCCGATTCCGAGTCAACTTTCTCCGACAAGATTTCACAACATTGTTAATAACTCATATTTTTGTTGTCTAGAAACATCTATAATGTCTAATTCCCTGATTTTATTAAATCTTTCATCACCAGAAGGATCGGACATTTCGTTGTTTACCGCCATTTTGCTTTCTTCTTCGTTTTCTTTACTGATCATCTAATTTTCCTTTAATATTTTTTCGTGGTTTTCGCCATGTGGTCCGCCATATTTGTTAACAGATGTTTACATCATTCTACCCATAATTCATAGCGAAAGATTTTGCGCAGAGAACACTTTCTATTTCTAAGAATAAACGTTTTACTTTCAGTTTAGTGTCTGAGACCGATGTATCGGTCTACCGTGTTCCAAGACAAAATTTTATCAGACCGATGTATCGGTCTACAGTGTTGAAAGGGTTAAAATAACATTTTTCACACGTTTTTCAATCAATGCTAGAAATGAAAAAAATTCTGCTTTGCATGAAAAACAATAAATCTGTAAATAAAAAATCAATATATCTTGTTCTTAAAGTTTTAACAATATCCCTGTCAGAATCATTTGTACCTGACATAAAGTGTCCTTTTCTGAGTGGTGCGTAAACTGCCTGTACTGGTGTTCATCATCTGTTCCCGCAAATCCTGAATTTTGGCCTCAAATCTGTTGTACTCTGCATGGGAAAGGATTAGGGACATTAGTATAAAGTGGTGAAACCATCAGGTATGTTACCTTTAAACTTTCATTTGAAACTAAAACAACTGTCTTTAAACATAGAACAAATGTAAAAGGAAAAGCAAATCATCAAAAATGTTCAAATAAACAACAGCTTGTTTAATCTATTTGAATTTCAAATTTCCAATGCTAAATGTTGCTGTGTATGACAGAGGGAATATAAAATAGTTATTGCCCTCCCCCCCCCCCCCCCAATCCTTTGCCTGTGGAGGTTGTGTAGTGTCTGTATAATTACCGTCAGGTCGGTACTGTACTACCAGTTCCACTGTGTCCCCGGCCATCTTCAGGGCACCCGCTGCCTCTTCATGTGTGGCCATTACTAAATCCTTCCCATTCACCTACAACAAATTCACCAACATCAGTCTATGCATCACCTTTTATATCTCTTTACAAAGATATTTCCAACATCTCAGGACTACTGTTAAATAATCTTGAGTTATCTATCTTTCTGTTTACAAATTAATATATCCAACAATTTAGGCATGTTGAATAATTTTTGAATTGTCCCAAGTTCTCCTGTGCAACGAATTAATGATGTTCATGCTTTTATATAACAATCTAAATTCCTTGCCCTTGTTATGTCATAGTACAGGATACTGTAAATTGTTTGCTTAAAATTCCATATCCCTGATACTGATGGCACTTGTAAATGTTTTTTTTTGTTTTACATAACTTATATTTTTAATGCAATAAATTATCACTGTTGATACTAGTAAATTATCATAAAACTACATAAATTGATAAATTGTTTATGTCTACACACAATATTTCCATTTCTAATAATGTCTCTGTGATAACTCTTTGAAACTTAGCGGAGTTAATTTCTTGATAATTCTACTGGAATGTAAATTAGGCAGGTCAATAGGTCAGGAGCTAAAGAGGCCTAATATGCATGTAAATCTCGTGCGCATCTGTCTCTGAGTCTGACGCTATGGAGGCCAAATATGCACGAAAATCTCGTGCAGCTGCTGTTATGTTTGACATCAGTGGGCAAGAACTATTGAAATTGGCATGGGAATCCTCGTGTAATTTAAATTTATGTCTGCATTTTTAAAGTCTTAATCTACAACTTTACAATGAAATGGAAATATAAGGAATCACTGTCTAGTTATATAGTATGCCAGGGACATCAACAATAGTGGGAAAAAATGGGATAATTTATGCATAACGGGCTTCGCCCGTTATGCAAATTATCCCATGTTTCCCACTATTGTTGATGCCCTGGCATACTATACTAACTAGACATTGATTCCTTAAATATATACTCCATCATAACTTAATATTATTGGACGAATAAAAGTGATTAAAAAGTATACATTAAATCAATTATCATGCTTGTTTACATATGACCTCATTCTTAATTTTTTTCCCTCCATCATAAAATCTTGTCAAATCCACTCTGCTCCAACAAAATCAGACCCTAACCTGCCAAGGACGAGTTTTCAGATCACAGTCAGCAAGATCGAACTATAGTTTACCCTTTTATAAACAATGAAATTATTGACACTAAATTTAAGATACAAATTGTTGGGTTCTATTTTCTCCTACTAACACCATTCTGAAATTCAACATACAACTACCATACTAATTATTTACTTTTCATTCCATAAGCAGAGAATACTTTCAGTCTTGATTTACATTTTGTTCACTGTGTCAGTTAAAAATACACACAAACACTACCAGGTGTTAATAGTTATACAGTAAGGAAGGTCAAAATGTTGTGTCAGTTAAAAATATAGCCACAAACACTATCAAAACAGGTGTTAATTGTTACACAGTAAATAAGGTTAAAATGTTGTGTCAGTTGAAAATATACATTCGAATAATTAAAACTACTAACACTAGCATACCATGTGTTAATTGTAATACACTTAAGTGAAGTTACATGCAGTAGAGAAATCTCGATTTCATTGATCATTATTTTATAAATATAAGTTTGATAACAACGACATACTTTTCACATATTACTTGTCACAAATCAACTGTATTCTTAAAGTGATTGATGTTTAGGCCAAGTATGTACTTCTTTGTTGTTTATTATGAAAAATATTATTGCTTATGTTGTCTTCTATGATCATGATGATTGAAATCTACGATTTATGTTTATGAGTTCCAGGAAAGTCAACTTACAATAGAATATGGTTAAAGGAAATACATGCAAGGGAAAACATAAATTTGGTTATTTCTGTTATTTGTATCACCGAAATAAATGCACTCTAGGTACAAAACAGTCCACTACTATAGATAGTCAAAATTAAGCTATATTTTTTTCCAATTAAATTTGATAATCATTTATTTATTTGCAGTGATATTTTGGGAAGTAGGGGTGTTTACAAAGAAGTAGTTGAAACTCAGAGTGTAGCATAATTAAACATGTTCAAAGATAAACAAAATACAATTTTTTTTTGAAAACTATTTTCACATCACATTTTCTTAATTAAAAGGCAAAGTTCTAACTGATAAGCCTTTGCAGTTAACGTACCGACAAGATTTGGTCGCCCCTCCGTAACTCCCCGCTGAGGTCGGCCGGGGCCCCCGCCAGGATGAAGGAGACAAATATCCCCTCGCCATTCTCTCCTCCCACAATGTTGAAGCCCAGACCAGTCGACCCCTTCTTTAGGACAATCTTTCTTGGATCCCTGCAGAGAGAAAAGGACATTATTTATTAAAAAAAACATGCACATAGACAGAATATGATAAAAATGAAATTCCCAGTGCAAAAGTTACACTTGTTTGCCTGCACTTGTACGATTGGTTACTGAACTTTTGACTCATAGACTCCCCATCAGGTTTTCTTGTACACATGTATCTTAGGTTTGTAACCAGGAAATCACTGAGAGTATCTCACATAACAGTGAAGCAATCCTATCATCTAACAGAGGGTTGGGGGAGCTGAATGGAAAAAAAAACCACGAGCAGGAGCACACAATTAAGACATTGTGAGTAGTGCAGCACACAATTAAGATAACTGTATTTGATTTGTACTCACATTCCCAGAACAACCTATTAACCCATTAACAAGCTGTGGTAGGGGGGGTTAGCTATAGGATTTCATTACCATTAAAGCCACTTTTTTCAGTAAATCAGAGAAACAGATGAGTCATTACCCTGATTAAGAATTTCACCTATCCATAATGAAGATTTGTCTGATACAAGATAAAGTAAATTTACATGACAGAACTAGGTGATCAATTAGCAACAAACCATGGAAACAGAACACCAGCCCACCACAGCCAGTGTTAGGTGTTCTATCTCAATGTAATCAAAAGCACTGACCCACAAACAATGAGGCTAACAAATAGAGTGGTGGATCCAACCCATCAGAATAAGTGTTAGGTGTTCTATCTCAATGTAATCAAAGCACTGACCCACAAACAATGAGACCAACAAATAAAGTGGTGGATCCAACTTATCAGAATCAGTGTTAGGTGTTCTATCTCAATGTAATCAAAAGCACTGACCCACAAACAATGAGGCTAACAAATAGAGTGGAGGATCCAACAAATCAGAATCAGTGTTAGGTGTTCTATCTCAATGTAATCAAAAGCACTGACCCACAAACAATGAGACCAACAAATAAAGTGGTGGATCCAACTTATCAGAATCAGTGTTAGGTGTTCTATCTCAATGTAATCAAAGCACTGACCCACAAACAATGAGACCAACAAATAAAGTGGTGGATCCAACTTATCAGAATCAGTGTTAGGTGTTCTATCTCAATGTAATCAAAAGCACTGACCCACAAACAATGAGACCAACAAATACAGTGGTGGATCCAACTCATCAATACCAGTGTTAGGTTTCCATCTATTAAATGTAATCAAAGCACTGACCCAGAGCAACATGAGGCTAACATATGCAGTGGTGGATCTAGTTACAATTCAGGGGGTGTTTTTATCAACAATTCAACATGTTCAATAAATAATTTAATACTAGAAGCACAGAACCACCTAGTTACTTCATTTAAAACTTTCATTCATGTTAACACAATTTAGATAAAATCTGAAGATTGGCTGGTTTAATAGGTGTAGAAACTTAAAAATCTTCAAGTTTTAGTATTCTGCCAAAAGGAAACACCCATTATCCTGTGTATGTCAAGTTTTCAGATCTACAGTATGTGTAGTGTTTGAACTCTTTCTACATGTTAAGTACTTGACCTCTTTGATGGTTGTTAGCTCCACCTAATTTATGAACACAATTTAATAACATCAGATGAAGTGGTTTAAGTACCCAACTTGTTTCTGTTTACATGTGTACATGCAATGACTCAATTTTGTACAATAGTATTTAATCTTCAAATTATCATCATTCCATTTATCTGAATATCTATCAATTAATTTCTCTTATCCGTTTTCCCACATTATTCATTTCCTCTTCAAACAGTTTTATACATGTATTTTAAAATTCTTTCATACATTTGTGCATGTAACAATTTAAATTTGAATGCCAGATAACTGACCACACAACAATGGATAGAAACAATGATAATCAATAATCAAAACTGAATTTTTCCTCGTACCAATTTAGAACTTTTTTCCTGTAAAAATCAAATGCCTATTTCCTGATATGTAGTGAAAACCTGATCCTTCAAGTCCAATAAAATATCAGATTGAATATCAGGCTTTGACACAATGCAGCAGTGTCAGATTATCTGTAAGAATCACGCAGAGAATTCTCAATATACGTGTCTACACCATACACCATGTACACCTAGAACTGTTCTGGCCTCTAGACATAGGCTTTCTGAGGAAGTCAGCCTCATCAATAATTAATACTAGGAGCTGATAATGGTCGAAAACAGTTAACCATGATCAATGTCAATTAGATCACACGCAACCATGTCAACATAACAGAGTCAGGAGCTTCACACTGTAACAGGATTTACTTCAATTTTATGGCTTGCATACACATAAACAATTTTTCATTTATTCATGCTATTACAAGTTTATTAGCATAAGATTGACCCTGTACTTCTGTGTCAAATGAAGACACTTAAAACTGCACAGACAATACACACACTGTTCTCTGACATGTATCTTGTGTGAGATGACAAAAGCCATTTTAAGTGTCATCTTGTCTGACATTTATAACCTGGTTTATATGAAGCTCCAATACAGCAGGTTCAGAGATAAGGAGCTACATATCCAGTGTTTATATGTTTCAGATCTGGTGGAAGTATTCCTGCTGTACCTCAAATAAAGAGAAAGCAAGGCACCTGGGAGTTTGTGAGAAACTGCAAGATGATAAGCCTTTGCTTTGCTTTTTAAAGGTTTCCTCCTGTTTTCCATGTACATACGGAGCATAAGCAGACTTTAGCTCTTAGAGGATACACCGTACTAATTCCCACAAGCTGCTCTAACTTTCCCAGCACCCTAGCCTGCCTCTGCAGATCAACAGAGCACTGTATATACCTTACTAAATACCATCTGCCCTAATGTTGTGGTACATGCAGCTACACACAGATCTCTATTAAGTACCTATAAGTGACAATTAACTCCCCTCCCCCCACCCCACCCACCATCAGAACATTCCAAAAACTAACCTGCTAATGTGAGGATCATAGAAATAAGGGTCTTTCCGCTGTCCTTTTTGCTTCAACATTCCGTAACTGAATAAGTTTGGCTTTACTTATCATAAATCTCTCTCATGTTTACACAATCACAAGTCAATAATTCTTGTAGATCCTGAAGTTTCCTTTGGTTTTAAAATCCCTGACCTACACACTCAGAATTCAATTAAATGTGAAACATCCTTTAAATATCATTAGAATGTGATGCGTTCCATGACTTCAAACATCCAGCTGACCAAGACATCACATCCTTCCAATCAAGGCAAGGTTAACAAAACACAAATATTCAGTAGTAGATGCAGCCAAGAGCTGTATATTTACTGGGCAGTCAGTGTTTACTGACCTAAATACCAGACCAGACAACAATGACTTGTTCTGAAGATTTAAATTAAACACAATCCCCGTTATACAGTACTCTAAGATTAAGTGTCTACACTGCACAGCTTAGATCAATACAGTTCCCATTCAAGTGGTTTTCTTTATCAGGCAAAAGCTTGAAATGGGGCTCCATAAAGGATATGCGATTTTTAAAATTCAAATTTGTATACTTTTGTTTACAGTTTCACTCTACGGTCACGGTGTTAGCAGTGATGTAGGAAGATCTTTATCTGATGACATGCAATGCACATTCATTTTTAGGAGGAACACACAAAAATAGCATCAGGGGTGCATATATTATAACAACCATTTACATAATTAAAAAAAAAAAATGTGAGGGGGCATCTCAAAAGTAATTTATCATATTACATGATACATAAGAATACCTTTAGTTTCTATTCAGCTGAAAAGTGCAGGTAATTTAAATGCATGTCAGTTAACCCATTTTACCTTCTTTAAAACCTGCTTTTTTTTTTTAAAATTCCTAGATAAATTGCACACAAAATTACAGCAGAAAATTAATACATTTATATAAAATGTTTATCCATCTTCATTTTGCAATAAAAAGGAAAATTTGCGGAAAAAAATAATACAAAAACCACAATGAAACTTTTAAATAGACACTACAGTGTGAAATCTATTTCAAATAAATGTACTTACTATGGAAAAAAATTTAAATCAAGAAGACTTACAGCTATGCCATTACTTATATTTCTATAAATCAAAGAAACTTCTACGAGAACATTTCTGGAGAACTGACTATATTCTGCAAGTTCCTGGTCAAAAGAATATGAAAAAAATATGCCTAGAACTTTGATATGGGATTGTAATGATATAAGGACCATTTTATATCCATTAAGTGCTTTTATTGAGAATACCTAATCCTTAATTATCAGTCAAGTTAACACTCCATTTACATTAACCAAACCTTATTACAACACTCCATTTACAATAAACCTTATTAAAACCCAATCCAGTTACCACACTAAAAGCCAGTAATAATTATATCACATTCTTCAATACGTAATAAAGAAAACATATTTTTAATGACAGTGTTCAAACCCTATAGAGTGAGTGTCTGGTGCAGCCATAAAATCAATATGGCCTCTGGTAGCAGGAATGATATAACAGATCTAAATGGATTCTGTCACTATTTACTGAGCCCTGTGCCAGCTTCAGCATCAGTGGTGAATTGTCACACCTTGGAACCTATAGCAAAGCTAACAGTAATCCTCTATACCATAATGCGCAACAGAACTGCAGATATTTATTGCATTCTGACACCAGTAGAAAAGCACTGAATGGAGGTAATGGTGAAATTATCTAATACATGCATGGCAACTAGATATTATGTCAATTAAATGTTGAAAACAAGAAACACAAACAACCAAGTAATCAATATGTTCAAGGACAAAAGGGTGATACATCTTTGTTATATAAAATATTTTTCCATTCCAAATTTGACACCTTTGTGTAAATATGATTTGTTACAAACTATCAGGTATGAAAATGTGAATAGAATTTTCTGCTTAAAGCTGAATATGTGATTTATCTTTAATTTACAAAAGTTCTATGCATAAACTTTCAGCACACTTCAAAATAATTTCAAGAATACTATTGTTTAACATGCAGGCATCACTTTAGAAAAATCAAAAGCCTGAAAGGCTTCAATGGCGTCGAACAAGAAAAACAATTTCAAAAGATCTGCAGGTCAAATGATCAACATAATAATAAAATTAAAAAAAATAGTCTTAACACATATACAGTATAGGGCCTTATAGCCTTGTGTCCTGGTTTCAGGGTTAATTGCAGAATCAGAAATGTCCATATATATATATATGAAGGGTTTCATAAATTATTTTAATTAATTGCCATTGTCATAGCGTTGTTCTGTTGTATAGTGATTGCATCTTAACTACAACCATGACTCTAAATAGTAATGTTACAATGAACTTACGATAGGGCGCGGTAAACAAATGGAGGAAATGGATAAATACAGTAATACTGGCATTACTGGTCAATATCGTCGGTTGTTCGGATAAAATTGGATTGAAGATCGTAAAAGCAAAGCTAAGATTAAGAAATTCAATCTTTATAGTCTTGTTGTATTCGTGTCTATTTTGTAATTATTTTACCGTATTTAAGATTGTTTGTATTACATTAATCGGTCCCAAAATGTGATTCATGTCATTCAACGCAGTGTTATCCGCAACAACCATAACGTTTTTCTTGGAATAATATCTAGTATTAATTGAAGATACAACTGATTTAATTTTATATTCAAGCTATTATTCATTGTGAACGTTTTAAAAAAATTGGTTTACACAGTGTGTCCACTGACACGTGCGGTCGCGTAAACCTGACTGATCGCTAGATGACGATCGGGCAAGCCCGACGCCATAAAAATCCACAGGAATATCAACTTTTATGTCATTTCAAAATTGCAATATATATATATATATACATGTATATATATCATATTCTTAGTAGTAAACACACCGATTCTGCATGGTGTGATGTGGGTGACGTCACAATACCCAATATCAAGGACCAGTCCGAAAATCCATATCACGTACCGGACCGGCGGGCAGAAAATCCTTATCAAACCAGAAGTAACATTTGAATAAAGTTTAAAAGTTAATTTACTTGATTTTATTTAATACTTGTGTAAAACAATTCTTTAATGACATTTGTGATCTTAATTTTTTTTAGTTAACTAAAACTGGCTCTATTAGATTTTAAAGAAAGAGGTCATATTAAACGGGCACGAAACATTCTTCAATGACCATATGTGAACTATTATATTAAGTATTTTAAATATATGATAAATAGAATACTACATACTAAAATCCAAAAAATCATATGTCACTTCAACCCTCGGGCTGATAAGGGGCCACTTGGGCTGATATGACATATGATATGGATTTCAGTATGTAATATTCTCTTTATATCAAATCTAAAATATTTTTCATATTCTGAAGAAAGATTTCTGAATATTATTCACACAAGGATGAGACGTACTTGTAATTGTATCACAGACTGACATATTTTTCTATTACCCGGTATTTAATAGCCAGTCCAAATTGCTTTTTTTTGTAAAAATATGCAATAGTAAGACATTCTCAGAGGAATAAATTTGGAAGCAAAATATGTGAATCAACCTCTTGGTCTCTTCTACTTTTCTTATTAATTTAGCGTAATAAATCATACACCTAACATCTTAATCAATACATCGATACATGGCTAATGGAAAAATAACACAAATATAAGATAAAAATTTAATAATAATCAAATTCTGAATCACTTCTTCTTCCTATGCTTGCTTTGATGTAAGGAAATATGAGTTATCTTTCTTTACCTGATACCAAACTAAGCTGAGTCTATACAGAACAAGTATAAGCTTTCCTGATAAACTTGACTGATGAAAACATGCCATGTTAACAGGATTTTTTACCTGAGTTGTAGTATTTACCGTATGGTGCCATACCTGTGTGAATATCAGTAAAATATACAATTGACAACTGAATATTTTACTGATATTTTGAACTTTGGTAAAAGACATCATCCATGGATATGTGTGTTGGAAGTCCCAACCACATATTCTTTGTATATCAAATGTGTAAAATGAAAATATGAATGAAATATCCAACCTTCATGACATGTTTTCTGAATGATGTGATACATGTGAGTCTATTTGTATGGTGTTTTAAAGATAAAATTGTGAAATTTGATATCAGTATTTTGTCCTCAGTATACTGATATATAAGGATATAAAATCTACTAGTATTGGGATGTCATATCAAAAATTGTGATACAGCTTTGACAGTATTGTTATATATTTTCTGTTAATTTATATTTCTCATACAATTTATTGAATTGGGATGCACATTTGGGATGGAAGTATTTTTCAAAATTTGACAGTATTGTGATGTCTAAATATATGTCAATATATTGTGATATAGTTCTTGGGATGTCAAAATATGTGAATTAACCTATTGTGATATCAGTATTGGGATGTCTATCAGTATTATCAGTATTTTTCTTATTAAGTTAGCTTAATAAATCATACACCTAACATTTTAATCAATACATCAATAAATGGTTAATGGAAAAATAACACAAATATAAGATAAAAATTTAATAATAATCAAATTCTGATCTTCATTTGTAGGTGTTATCTATAGTGTTAAACATTTTGATGTAAGGAAATAGGTATGATATATTTCTGGGACATTTAGTATGATGTGATATATTTGTGGGTGTATCAGTATGATGTGATATATCTGTGGGTGTATCAGTATGGTGTGAAACATATGTGGTTCTATCAGTATAGCATGATACACTTGTGGTTCTATCAGTACGGTGTGATACATATGTAGGTGTATCAGTATAGCATGATACACTTGTGGTTCTATCAGTATGGTGTGATACATATGTAGGTGTTACAGGATTTTTAATACCTGAGTTGGCATAGTGTTTCCTGAGTGGTATGATACATCTATATTTCATGTGTGATATATATCAGTAAAATATACAATTGACAACTGAATATTTGTGTGTTACTGTATTATATACTTCACACATGTAGTGGTGTGATACATTTGTGTGTCTGTCTGTATTATTTGTAAAATCCAGGGTCTTCATTGGCGTAGGTGTTTTCTGAGTGGTGTGATACATTTGTGTGTCTGTCTGTATTATTTGTAAACCTTACCTTCCAGGGTCTTCATTGGCGTAGGTGTTTTCTGAGTGGTGTGATACATTTGTGTGTCTATCTGTAAGTATTTTACCAGGGTCTTCAATGTTTTCTGAGTGGTGAATACCTTGTGTGTATCCTGTATTATTTTTTCTTCCAGCCCCATCATGTTTTCTGAGTGGTGTGATAAATTTGTGTGTCTGACTGTATTATTTGTAAACCTTACCTTCCAGGACCTTCATTGACATGTTTTCTGAATGATGTGATACATTTGTGGTCTGTCTATTTGTTGGTGTGGTGGAAAAAATTTGTCAGAGGTCTATCAGTATTGTGATATCACACAAGTATTGTGATGTCAAAAATGAAAATATTGTGATATCAATTTTGTGATTTTGAAATAGACCTACATAAAAAATTTGAATCAGTATGAAAATGGGATGTGAAGCAAATTTGAGAGTTTTATCTTGATGCAACATTTGTGCAAGTTTGGTCTATACAATGTTATATAAGCCTTATAGTTTTTTGGTAATGCTATAGTCTACTTGTGTATGTCAAATTATCATAGCAAGTCCATTAGTGTGCATTTGTTGACATACATGTATAAGTATAATTGGAAATAAACCATTAACATTTTCCTCATCAACAAAAAGTAGGTCAGATTCAGCATCCGAAGCAAGCCCATTTATATATGTGATTTCTGAGTTTGGTATAAAGAAACATTTGTGGAAATGTATCAAAAACTTTAACCTGTTGTCAACCAGAAAATACATTTGTGAAGCAAGCCCTGTAGTGTGCATCCATGTTGTGATACATTTGTGGGCTGTATCAGTATGTTGAAATGAAATGCACCAAAAACTTTAATTTGAAAATGGGTGTATCAGTATGCATCCTTGATATATCATCCATGCAAGTTTGGTCAACATAGGGCTTATAGTTACTTGGAAATGAAACCTGCACCAAAAACTTTAACCTGTTCACTCAACTGTAAAATGTAGGTCAGATTCAGCATCCGAAGCAAGCCCTGTAGTGTGCATCCATAGATGTATCATCCATGCAAGTTTGGTCAACATAGGGCTTATTTTGGAAATGAAACCTGCACCAAAAACTTTAACCTGGTAAAATTTTCTTCAGCATGGTGTGATACATTTGTGTGTCTGTCTTATAGTATTAAATGAAACCTTCACCAAAAATTCCAAAAATGTTAACCTGCTCCAAAAACATTAACCTGGTCATTCCTTTGCTGAAATTGCAGCATCTGAAACTTTGGTGTACAATGAAACACACTAGAACATCTTGTGTGTCTAATCAATATAGGACATAGAAGTACTTAATGTCCAAAAAAAACCTTACCTCCCTGGGTCTTCATTTCGTTGAGGTGTTTAAAAATATGAGTGGTGTATACATTATGTGGAAAGGGATTATCAATGGAGCAAAGTCCAGTAAATAATGAATGCTTTTTAAGTTCAATAAATGGCTTTAGATATGGTTCTATAAAATAATACAAGATCCAAGCAAGACTATAGGGTATTCATTTCAATGTTCGTCGATCATGCATGTACAGGTAACATTGCAATATACAATATACATTGTATTATTATTACCTATAAATCAGACAAAATGTTCAACACATAAACTTTATCTTTAAAAGATGCTTCACCTATTTATATTCACATGTAAATCATATACTGAAATATTCATACCGTAAAGAAAAGTCGATTTATTTTTGCGAATTTGGGTCAAAAAGCTGTATTAATTTTTACGCTTCAAATTTTTGCCAATTGTCACTGGTGCTAAAAATAAAAATCATGAAGATTTTCATGCTTTTTAAGTTCAATATATTAATAAATGGAAACAATTTTGATAAAAATACGAAAGGATTTGCACTGAAAATAATTTCTTAATCAATTATAGCAAACATTTCAGAGGTTGTGTATGCCTTTTAACCTGAAGTTTAATCCAAATGAAGAAAAAATACCAATAGCAAGACTAAAATTTACACGCCGCGTAGGTATTTATTAGATAAAATCAGTTCTCTCTTTATTGGCAAATTAATTGATGAAAATTATTCATCTCAGTGCTTGTCAAATCATCGGACGATGTTACAGGTAAAATTGCAATATACAATATATATTGTATTATTACCTATAAATCAGACAAAATGTTCAACACATAAACTTTATCTTTAACAGATGCTGCACCTATCTATATTCACATATAAATCATATATTAAATATTAATATACTAAAAGACATATATATTTATCACATGTTCTACACGTTACTACTTTCTTACAGTAAACAAATCTGTGTAATCTATGTTGAACATATCCTGCATTGCTATTTCTGATAAGACTCATTGTTCATTGGGCAATGACCTCCAATGAAAATAGAACCTGACTACTCTTCCAGAAAAAGGTCAGATGCAGCATTTAGCCATGTAGCTTGATAATGTGCATTTACAGATGTATCATCCATGGGTCCCAGATATGGGTTTTGGGTTATTTATAAAATTGGCCTGCTCTAAGAACTTTAATCCAAGTACAGACACTAACAGGAATATGTACCAGACTCCAAACAAATATCAACCATAATTTCAAACCAAAACAAAGTTGATCTATTTATGTAACAGTGCATGAATAATACATTTATGTAAAGCAAATACTGTTTTCCCTAAGAACCGGCTTCCGGCCAAATTGACATCATCAATTGACAAAAATGCCGCTTAGAAATGAAAAAAAAAATTAAAATTTAATTGTTGTAAGATCCACAGAGATTTTGTTCATTAACCTTAGCCCTTAGCCTGTTACAACTGATCTCCAACCCTTTACTTTGAAATAAAGAGAAAAAACACTAATTGTCAGATTGATTTCTGATCATTTCTCTGAGCTAAAGTACACTTTTAATTGCAGTCAGTTGCAGCAACATATTTTATAACACTTCAGTAAAATTGAGTCTTTCATCCTAACTATGTGAGGCATATTGTCCTAGTCAGACTTACATGGTGGTGTGGCCTGGTCCTGACTGACGTTGTCTGGTACATAAGACGGTTTGGCGATGGTCAGGTTGACCACTTCCTGTGTCGCCTTCAGCGCTGCCACGGCTTCTTCATGTGTCACATTGTCCAGGTTTGTGTCATTCACCTATAAAACATTTTTCATTCTCTTACCATTCTTTTAATTTTACAATAGATTTTTAAAATCAAAATAACTTGAATTTGTAAGCTAGCTTTCTTTTTCCTGAACAAAAATCACAGTCATCAGTTTGTAACATTTTTATTTTTGTTTTATCATTAAATGAGCTTACTTCAAATAACACAGTACTTTTTGTATATTCTGACTTACTGCGATGAGCCTGTCCCCCACAGCCAGCCTGCCGTCCTGCTCTGCCGCCCCTCCCTCAATGATTTTGGTAACAAATATCCCATTGTCACCTGGAATGTGTTGATTTCCGATGCCCCCCGCTATACTGAACCCCAGGCCTGAAGTAAAAGAGGAACATCATGCAGTACAGAACCATGCTAAAATGTGAGTTACAGGCTGCAAGAGGGTTAATTTTATCATAGGTTATTTAGTGGAGGTTACTGAATGCTATATATAATTAACATGTTTACCACTGGTTTTGAAGAAAAATTTCTGAAAAAACACATATTATTTATCATTAATACTTTGATTATAATTTTTTCATCCTTAGTGACTTTTTTCCATTCTTTACATAATCCATGACCAGAGAGAAAAAATGTTGAATCAAATTAATCCAAAGTTATAAATAAATAAATCAATCTTTGATAGTGATCGTAGAAATTTTGAGTTCAATAATATAAGATACCAACCCTTGTTTGATTTGATTAGCTGTATCTCCTGAACATTCTCTGTAGGGGCTTTTAATCTCTTCACATGCTGAAATTAAAAGAGCCATTAAGATTTAGTCAGAAACATTTTACATTTTCTTTATTTTTAAATAAATCATTTTTTCCTAAAGCTTTGGTTGTAATCTAATAGTATATATATAATGATGCATTTAGATTTTAGTTTTGACAAACTCAAAAATTCACACTAGAGACATATCAATATCCAATAATTTCAATTACTCCAGCCCCCTGGGACCAAGAGTTGAAGAAACCTGAATCATATAGATTCTTGCAAATAAATTCAACAAACTGGCTCTACAAACTTTTTCTTTTTAAAAAAGCTTTCCTTTCTATCCTTACAACAGTTTTACTGCTGAAAAAGAACTTGGCTCTTCATTTGAAACAGAATGAAATTGAATTCTCAACATGCATTGATGTTTTGAGACAAGTATGAATGAAATTGGCCAAATTATTCTCGAAAAGTCAGGAAAAAATGGATGAAATCTTGGACAGCAATATAAGACAACTGAGTGACGTGTGACCCAAGAAGACACCTCCATACAACTTATGTGCACCGAGATGCTCAACATTAAAGATTCAAATCAGTTTGACGTATATGATGAATAAACTCTACATTCTATTGCAATACATGTACCAGAAAAATTGGTAAAGATCTAATAAGTCCAACGTCCTCTTATGGTTTACTGGAAATTTATTTCTGCTTTTTTAAAAAATCATTAATATCAAACAAATTAAGCAATTTAGCAACTTGCTCCATTTGGCTTCATTAAATTATCTTCCATTTTACCAAATCATTACCAAAATCCATTGCATGCTTAATCTTTTTTCATCAAGTGGATATAATAAACAAGCTTTAAATAAAAGACATCAATACATCCAGGCCTGTATAACAACATTATGCTGTATTTTACATTACAGACAACCTTGTCAACCTCTGTGTAAACTGAAAGCAAAAGAACTTGCCCCGAGGTAGCACAGAACTGTGACACAGTTTACCCTTGATAATCCATTCTGCTTGGCATTCATGCTTGGAAAATGACAAAGATATTGAATGGCACGAAGTACAGCCAAAAAATAAACTGGTGCTGCTAGTGTTTATATGACTTTGTTAGATATGATCAAATAACAATAAAATAGAAAATGAATATATTTCATTAGTTCTGTAAAGTGCTGTTTATGCCTTCCATTATTTTTTTTTCTATGCCCTCAGGTTTTAAACTGGTGATAAAAGAAAAGAAAAACAATTTTTATGATAGAAATTATGAAAAAAGTCATTGTCAACTACTGGTTTGTACTTATAACAAAGGATGAGAAAAGAAGCCATTGCCATCAGACCAAAACTGTAGAAAGAGTAGCGTATTAAAGGAATTTCAAGGACATTTCTATTTTTAGTAACAATGGCAACACTGTTCATTGAAATCAAAAACCAATGCACTATTAATTTTATGTATCTTAGTGTAGTCTACTTGTGTGCCAAGTAATATTGAAATCAGACCAAAACTGTAGAAAGAGTAGTGTTTTAAAGGAATTTCATAGAAAATTCTATTTTTAGTAACAATGGCAACATCGTTCATTGAAATCAAAAACCAATGCACTATTTTATGTATCTTAGTGTAGTCTACTTGTGTGCCAAGTAATATTGAAATCAGACCAAAACTGTAGACAGAGTAGCATTTTAAAGGAATTTCACAGAAAACTCTATTTTTAGTAACAATGGCAACACCGTTCATTGAAATAAAAAACTGATGCACTATCTTATGTATCTTAGTGTAGTCTACTTTTGTGCCAAGTTATATTGAAATCAGATCAAAACTGTAGGAGGAGTAGCATTTTAAAGGAATTTCACAGAAAATTCTATTTTTAGTAACCATGGCAACATCGTTCATTGAAATCATAAACCGATGCCCTATTTTATGTATCTTAGTGTAGTCTACTTGTGTACCAAGTTATATTAAGATCAGACCAAAACTGTAGGAGGAGTAGCGTTTTCAAAAATTGTTTACAGAGAGACGGACAGCTAGACGGACGGACAATGGACACCTAACTATCACATAAGCTCTTCTGGTCTCTGACCAGTAGAGCTAAAAAGACATTGTCAACCATTTCTTCTACATTGTGGGCAAGAAGACAATTTATTTGCAAACACAATGCCTTTAGCTGTTTAAATTCAATTTCACTCTTTTATTTTGAAGTACTGTGGAGATGATGTCGATGTGAAAAGATTTCATGGAATTGCAAGTTAGTGAATATTCATTGTTTATATGATCGGTCAATGCAATGTTAACTCCTTGAAATTTAAAATACATGTATATATCATGAGGCCCCAAAACACTATAAAGAGATGTAAACACAATATCTCATATACTCACAATCAATAGAAACGCAACACCCTAATTTTAGGAAGAAAATTACATACAGGATATAACTATATATTTACATTTGCAAATATCTTTCTTAGATGAACCTATTGAAGAGAAAATGTGTTCAATTCTGTGTGAATGTTATTTGGGGGTCGGAGGTCATAGACCAACAAAATCACAGAGCGAGTTGATATTTTGTCTACTATTTCTGTCACGGTGCAACTTGTTTTGGAATATTTCTAAGTTTATACAATGTTAAAGATAAAATGCTAACAATATGGATATTTTTCAATTACGAGATGTACAATAAATCTTCTTTTTATGTGAATAAGGTTTTAAATACTCTAATTAATCAGCCTAAAACTGCACTTACCTTTTTAACTCGAAATTCCTTTAGTCTTATGCAAACTAAAACAGGCGATACCACCACTTTTGACTTCAAATATTTTAAGAACTTATGAAATAGTTAGATTTTTCTCAGCAGCGATTATTGTTCTTTCACCATATACAAATATTTCCTGAACTTGACTGCTAAACATGAATGTAAACATTCAAATTTTGGAGCGAGGTAAACTTTCTAGACACACACAGCTTTTACATCACTGCGCGTCACAACATACATGTAGCTACGGTGGTCCATTCATGTAATATATGCAGTTTTACTAGAAATTTATTCATCTCAAATGAAAATATAAATAATAAACAACAATGTTAAAAAGTTCAGTGGGAAATAACTTTAGTTGGTACGTGGTCAAATCTACTGAGAAGCCCTTTGGGCTTCACAGGATTTATGGACCAACTAGCATTTCCCAGAGAACTTTTTAATATTGTTGTTTATTTCTTAAGTACCAAAAAAGTTAGGAAATCTTTTACTTTGCCAAATCAGTTATTTAATGGTTGAATGAATTTCTTTCCATTACTGGCAGTTTTTCTAGCCCCCTTAACAGAAATCAAAATTTTGCATTTTTAATAAAATTTTCAACAATATTTTGGGTTTTCAAAGTTTTGTAGCTGTTAATCATAAGTATTGTACTAAAATCTCAAGAAAAAAATCCTTGTTTCTTTTCCAGATGTGATGCCTATATTTCCTCAAAATGACTTCTCCCTCCAATGAAAAACTTGGGAAAGAGAAAAGTTGATTTCATCAGCAAAAATCCTTGCCTTACTTAAAAAAAATGTACTTTGAAGGGATCTAGGAAGGAGAGCCTACATTAAAGGTGGTTTGTTAGCTCACGGATATGGTAATTTATGAGAGGTAGCAAAGATTTTTTAGTTCTTTCTTTATTTCCCTTGTAAAAGTTTTATTAATGATACAACAAATTTGCAGTTTTAGCAAACAAACAAACAGAATATGTAGACAATAACATAGAACAATCTCCATTACACTCAGCACTTGTCCTTTTTACAATCCACTTTAACCTAATGACTATGTTTTGTGTCATTACAATAAACCAGGACAAATCCCAAGATTAAGAACCAATCTTATAGGATTTCCTTTTTCTCATAACTGTGTTGAAGTTGATTTGTTTCTGGACCCATGATCACAAACTGAAAACTTTCAAGTCAAAATTTAGATTCTGAATATTTGACTTCAATTGAAAGAAGTTAATTGCAGGTTTGTAAATTGTGAAATTCAGATAATTTTTATGTCCCTGGATTTAAAGATCTGGGAGTATATTGTTTTTTGTCCTGTCTGTCTGTCTGTTTTTCTGTCTGTCTGTTGTCAACTTTAACCTTGCACATAACTATTGAGTGGGTGGAGCTATGGCTTCAAAAGTTATGACCAAGGTTAAAGTTTTTAAAAAGTGGGTCAAACTCTTCGGTCAACGTGAAAAGATCAAAAATATTATACCAGCTGAAAGGTGTTGTATGAAAGCCCTAGCTCCAACTGTTCAAAAGTTATAGCCAAGGTTATGTCAAACTCCAAAATCTAGGTCAAAAGGTCAAATTTGGTGGTACCCAAAGAAAGGTCTTGTCACAAGGAAAACACCTATGAAATATCAAAGCCATGGCCCTACCCACTCAATAGTTATGGGCTAAATTAAAGTTGACAACAGACAGACAGGCAGAAAGACTGACAGGACAAAAACAATATACCCCCGGATCTTTTGATCAGGGGGAATAAAAATAAGTTGAATTTTAGTCTTCATATGGATTACTGTTTAGGATTAAAGGCATACACAATCTCAAAAAGGTTTGTTTTGATTAATTTGGTAAATATTTTTAGGGCACCCCCTTTTGTATTCTTCATTTTTGTTACAATGCAAGTATATGGGACTTATTTTAACTGTGTTGATCGAGGGCTTGTTCTGAGACACAGTTAGATCGTTCTAACTAATGTTAAACTCCCTCTGTGATCATAATCAGAGTTATAGACCTACCAGAACAACTCGTGTGCCGGCCTGTTTGAGAGCATCTACAGCCTCTGAATGTGTAGCTTCTGATACATCTACTTCATTCACTTTCACAATAATGTCATTGATTCTGGAAGGAAAAAAATGCAAATATTAGAAAAATATTCTTAATCTATATTCCTGTCAATCATCAACTCTTAAATGCCATATTTCAACAATTTGTTTTTTCTCTTTTGCAGGCTTCATCACCTGAAACTTCAATCGCAAATTAAGCTGGGTGTCATTGTGAATAGTATATCATTACTATATGTAAAAAAAAAAAAATTACCAAGTTATGACACACACACATATAAGTATTCTTACGACTTTTTTCCCTGAGTCGCAAAAGTACAGAAAAAAGCACAGTACCAAAGTTTTTACAGAACCAAGTCACTATTTCAAGACAGCAATTTAATTGCCATAAATCAATGGACTAACTTAATAACTAATCACCTTTCTCCATTTTTTAAGGATATATTTCTTGATCCTAAATTTCAGAAACAGAAAAAAATTTAATGCTTTAAACCAGCATACTTATTATACATAATTATGTACCTGTGTATCTGAACAATGTACAGTTCAGTAGAACTATTACAGGTAAAAATTTGATCCCCAGGGAAGATGTACATGATTTCATGTAGATGAAGTTTCAGTCACAAAATGCAACTGTCCAGGCTCACAAAGGAATTCTTCATTGACTTCAAATGTCACAAATAAAATATTCACAGTCACTGTCACATAATCCAAAATTTTGATTTTTTACAAGTCTTCGATAAAAAAAGTTCTTGTAGACAGCTGATGCATCAGGTTAGGTATTTCACACAGCACAAAACAAAATATAATATGCAGAGCCAGATTTCTGTCATGCAATATTTGCTCAAACTGCGGAAATTCCTGGAGTTCTTTGACACCTTTATCATCTAATCATCACAGAAATGCTTCATTGATTGATATCAATTCATATTTCCTTTTTTTAATATAAGCCTCCACACGAAATGTCATGGAGAACAAACTCATCAGGTATGACAAATATAAATGTTCCATTAAATTGATAAGTACATATATATTTATAATAGATGAGAAATAATCTCCTTTTTATTTAGAAAAGCCAACTTTCAGTCTCTATTGATGCGAGTTATTAAGCCACGACCCTCGGTTGTAATAATAGGGAGCAGCCTGCCTGGCTGATTGACAAGCCCGCACTATTGTGTTTTGCCTTGCCTGCAGAGGGCCTTCAATAATTAATAAGGACTAACAAATCCCTCGTTATTATGGTGGCTACCCCTCCAGGATCTGCCATCAGACAATTTAACAGGCACCAATCACTGGGATAAGTGCTTCCATTTTATTGCAGAAGAGCTCCGAACCCAATGCTGTTATTTTAACACCCTCGCCAAAGAAAGGCATATATGTAAAATGTCAGCTTTACACCTCTGAGAAAATTCTGTTGAGGGTAATGAGATTTTTATGGTCAAAGTTTAACGCTAGTCTTGATTTCCACAGAAATAAAATGATGTGGGGAGTATAGCACAAAAAAGTCATTAGATTTGTAGTCAGTCAATACAAACACAGAAATGTCTCCTCTTGGACATAATTATACTTCTTATGTCATGTTATGTCCAGTTTTATCTTTTTACTTCACAAAGTACCTAAACAAGCTACTTAGCACATTGACAGTGCACATTTTCCATCAAAGCTGAGTTAGTAACCTCAAAATTAACTTCATTATAAACAATAACTTTTAATGATTATCCAAACCACTGAAAGTGTCAATTTTTAAACAGAGTTCAGTTATTTTATCAGAAAAAGAAAAATCTTGAATTTCCTTCCTGGCGACATGAAACAGCAGCTAAAAAAACCATGGAAACCAACCTAGCATCTATCAGTCCTTAGCCACCGATACAGAGCGGTGCTATCAGAGCTTTCATTATGGCATACATGACATATTAAACAGGCTTTAAAAGGAAATTATTGCTACCGCTTCAAACGCTTGATTTATCTGTCGAAGCGCACATGAAAACTGTCTCAACTTCATGGAATCTGATAATACATCATTTTTTGGGTCTTAAAAAAGAACATCTCGCTCTCACTCACACAGATGCAAGCACAATAAAAAATACTTTATGCTGTTAAAAAAAGAATTAAGCTTGTCAAAATGTTCTTTTTTATTCAAAACCAAAACATGAAGGAACATCCTGAAGACAATTCAATTTCTATGGTAACAAGATTACAAGAGAACTGAAATAAAATTAGTATTGATTATAAATAATTTCTCATTATCTCATTAAAAAATTCAGAATCTCCGTAATCAGTGAGAGCAAGGAATCCCTTATGAGGGAGCAGCCGTCACAGACTAAAAAACCAGAAAAACAACAATGGAGGACTGGGAGGACTGAGCTACTACAACACAGGAGTGGGAATTGGGTCGCGGCAGTCTGGAACATGAAATCAGAGTTGTAAATCCCTTATGAGGGAGCAGCAGTCATAGCTTGAAGGACCAGAAAAACAACAATGGTGGATCAAGAGACGACAATAGAGTAGTGGGAATTAGTACAGCCCTCGAAAGTCTGGAACATGAAATCAGAAATGGAAATCCCTTATGAGGGAGCAGCAGTCATAGACTGAAGGACCAGAAAAACGTCACAGGTGGACCAAGCCACGAATAAAAGACTGGGAATCAGTACAGCCCTCTGCAGTCTGGAGAGGCATACAATTCCCAAATACGACATCAGAGTCAACAAAACTTCCAACCCAAGCACACAAGATAAAAGGATGACAATTGGCCAGTTTAGAGTAGCTGATACTTGTAGTTAATGGATTTGTTAAATAATTCAGCCCCAATCAATTATCTCTCATACATGGAATCTAAAATTTCTTCTCTGAATCAGGAAAAAATATAGATTTATCCATCCCTCCCCAAAAACTTTTTCTTTGATATGTTGATATGCATTACAACAACTTAGCATCATACACGGACCACGATCTCTTAGCATCGACTTTAGTTACAAGGATAATCCTGGTCGCTCCATCAATGAGACCACTTACTATACAGTAACCAGAGAAAGCTGAATGGAGCATAATTTTTTAATGTACAAAAATATGATTTAGTAACTTACTGTAAAGCAAGTTAAATGGCTGCACATCAAAATCCAATATAGTTAATGCTTATCAGTGTGATCAGACCGGGCTATGGATTCTGTGCACCATTTCCCTGTGGTCTGTTAATTAGGTTATCTTTACCACCAAAAACAATATAAACTATTTTTTGTGTGTTCAAGTCCCTTGCCACAATGAGCATGTTTGATAAAATAAAAGACAAGAAAGGAACATGATTACTAATAATAACAAAGATGTGTAGAAAAGTGCACCAGGAAGTAGATCTTTTTATTAATTTTTTTTCTGATGGCTTCTGTTTCAACCCCCCTCCTTTTTTTTTTAAAATTCTGGATTATTGTTTAATTGCTGTTTAACAAACTTTAAAATGAAATATCATTATTTAATTAAAGTTAAAACTTTGCATTTGGTCCTCTCTGCATCAAGTCAGTTATCGTACTAAAGCTGATCAAATTTCTTTTTTCCTTTTAAGGAGATATATAAGCTGATCAAATATTTATCTGTTTTCATTAAAAAAAAAATCCCTGCTGCAATAGTGCTAGTGTAATTCTAGCATTTTGTGTAATGTTCCCAGATCTTTGTTTTATTTAGTATTCTAGTTATGCAATCCTATTGACAGGAGAGAAACCAAAATTATTTCTCTGAATTTGTATGATTTCAAGACAGTACAGTTTCAGTGTGTTAAGATGTTAGTTCACTCTATGGGAGCCTGACAATCTCTTCACCGTAACAAGATCATAAGATATATGTAACTTATTCAAACTTTTCCATGTAAATCCTACATGCTACACAATCAGTGTCATTAAGCCCACCTTTACTTGTCTTTCTATCCTCTATTTTGTATAAATTTATACCAAAATATATGCTGAGTTATGTTTGAATATATTTTTTTCTAGGCCTATTCAAGATGAGTGGTACCTGCACACCAGTCAGTATACACCCATCTTTGGTGTTTAGTACAGGGTCCTGTTGACTTACTTCAGTCTTCCGTCCTCGGCCGCTGCTCCTCCAGGGATGATCTTCGTGATGAAGATACTGGGGTCGTCTCCCATGTGAGGATTGTCTGCCCCTCCCGCAATGCTGAACCCCAACCCCGTATTACCCTAAAAATAAAACAAGACATCAGTTACTAAAATCATTACCAGCATCTACTTATAGAGAGAACTTTTCTGAAATCCCTCCTAGAAATAGAATTGTCAATATTGCTTCTAAAAATATACCAGGTAGTAAGTTGTGAGTTCTATTACAGAATAATCTGACCCTTAGAGGCTATTAAGCCAGATTCCTTGCAGGCTTGAGAGCAATATGTATGTTAATATTGTCCCCAAAGTAATATTGACTCTGTAATGAATTGCAAGCATTGTTGTGTTTATGTGTCAGTAAATTATCTTCCTTGTCAATTTCAGAACAGCATAACAGAGGTTCCTTGAATCTCTCTCTTCTGCTGCCAAACAATGCACAAACCTACACTATGAGCATTTTTTTCTTGTAGAAAAACACATGGTACATGTATTGCCAAACTATAATCTGCAATTCAATCCTTAATATAATACCCCACAGGCCTTTGGATAGTTTTTAAAACAAGAGGCCCATGGGCCACATCGCTCACCTGAGAAGCTTTGACCATTCTGTTCTTTACCAGATTTCACCCTTGTTATACATAATGCATCCCCACCCTACCCCACTGATCATAATTGAGACATTTTGAAATCTCCTTCCATGGGCACATATGTTTCAGCTTTTTGGCCCAGTGGTTCCCGAGAAGAAGATTTTCAAAGATTTTTCCTATATATTTCTATGTAAAACTTTGATTCCCTGTAATGGCCCCGCCCTTCCCCCGGGGGTCATGATTCCTACAATTTAGAATTTACACTACCCCAGAATGCTTCTACATAAGCTTCACTTTTTCTGGCCCAGTGGTTCTTAAGAAGAAAAATTTCAAAGATTTTTCCTATATATTTCTATATAAAACTTTGATTCCCCATTGTGGCACCACCCATCCCCCGGGGGTCATTAATTGAACAATTTAGAATCTACAGTACTGCTACATTATACCAGGATGCTTCCACATAAGTTTCAGCTTTTCTGGCCCAGTGGTTCTTGAGAAGAAGATTTTCAAAGATTTTTCCTCTATATTTGTATGTAAAAATTTGATACCCCATTGTGGCCCCGCCCTTTCCCTGGGGGTCATGATTTGAACAATTTAGAATCTACACTATACCAGGATGCTTCCACATAAGTTTCAGCTTTTCTGGCCCAGTGGTTCTTGAGAAGAAGATTTTCAAAGATTTTTCCAGTATATTTCTTTATAAAACTTTGATTCCCCATTGTGGCTCCACCCATCCCCCGGGGGTCATGATTTGAACAATTAAGAATCTACATTATACCAGGATGCTTCCACTTAAGTTTCAGCTTTTCTGGCCCAGTGGTTCTTGAGAAGAAGATTTTCAAAGATTTTTCCTATATATTTCTATGTAAAACTTTGATTCCCTATAATGGCCCCGCCCTTCCCCCGGGGGTCATGATTCCTACAATTTAGAATTTACACTACCCCAGAATGCTTCCACATAAGCTTCACTTTTTCTGGCCCAGTGGTTCTTAAGAAGAAAAATTTCAAAGATTTTTCCTATATATTTCTATATAAAACTTTGATTCTCCATTGTGGCTCCACCCATCCCCCGGGGGTCATTAATTGAACAATTTAGAATCTACATTATACCAGGATGCTTCCACATAAGTTTCAGCTTTTCTGGCCCAGTGGTTCTTGAGAAGAAGATTTTCAAAGATTTTTCCTCTATATTTGTATGTAAAAATTTGATACCCCATTGTGGCCCCGCCCTTTCCCTGGGGGTCATGATTTGAACAATTTAGAATCTACACTATACCAGGATGCTTCCACATAAGTTTCAGCTTTTCTGGCCCAGTGGTTCTTGAGAAGAAGATTTTCAAAGATTTTTCCTATATATTTCTATATAAAACTTTGATTCCCCATTGTGGCTCCACCCATCCCCCGGGGGTCATGATTTGAACAATTAAGAATCTACATTATACCAGGATGCTTCCACATAAGTTTCAGCTTTTCTGGCCCAGTGGTTCTTGAGAAGAAGATTTTCAAAGATTTTTCCTATATATTTCTATGTAAAACTTTGATTCCCTATAATGGCCCCGCCCTTCCCCCGGGGGTCATGATTCCTACAATTTAGAATTTACACTACCCCAGGATGCTTCCACATAAGCTTCACTTTTTCTGGCCCAGTGGTTCTTAAGAAGAAAAATTTCAAAGATTTTTCCTATATATTTCTATATAAAACTTTGATTCCCCATTGTGGCTCCACCCATCCCCCGGGGGTCATGATTTGAACAATTAAGAATCTACATTATACCAGGATGCTTCCACATAAGTTTCAGCTTTTCTGGCCCAGTGGTTCTTGAGAAGAAGATTTTCAAAGATTTTTCCTATATATTTCTATGTAAAACTTTGATTCCCCATTGTGGCCCCGCCCTTCCCCCGGGGGTCATGATTTGAACAATTTAGAATCTACACTACCCCAGGATGCTTCCACATAAGTTTCAGCTTTACTGGCCCAGTGGTTCTTTAGAAGAAGATTTTTTAATGACCCCACCCTATTTTTGTCTTTTCTTGATTATCTCCCCTTGCGAGGGGATATGTCCCTTTATTTTAACAATTTAAATTCCCCTTTACCCAAGGATGCTTTGTACCAAGTTTGGTCAAAATTGGCCCAGTGGTTCTTGAGAAGAAGTCGAAAATGTGAAAAGTTTACAGACGGACAGACAGACAGACGGACAGACGGACAGACGGACGGACGGACGGACGACGGACAAAATGTGATCAGAAAAGCTCACTTGAGCCTTCGACTCAGGTGAGCTAAAAAAAATTGAGGTATTAAAAAATGTTTTTTTCACCCCAACTTTTTAAAATTGGATTTAAGCAATCCAAAGGCCTGTGTAATACCCCCAAAGAAGAGGCCTATGGGCCACATTACTCATCTGAGCACTTTGGCTACAAAAAAGCAAACATCAGTTAAGAATTGAGAAGTTTACATGGCAGAGGTCTCGGGGATGATTTAACAAACTTAAATCTAAACTACCTGAAGATGTTTCTGATTAAATTTCACTCAATCATGGCTTTGCTGTTCTTAACAAGAAATTTTCAAATGATGTATCCTTTCTATTTTGTATAACTATGGTCCCCTTCTAGCCCTACCCTATCCCTGGGGCCTTGATTTTAACAAACTCCTTCATCACCCAAGGATGCTTCCATATAAATATGACCAATCATGGCTTTGCTGTTCTTGAAAAGATGACTCTAAAGAATTTTCCTTTGTATTTCCAAATGTTTAACTTTGAGCTATCACCATGGCCCCAACCTATCCTAAGGGGTCTTGATTTGAACAAATTTGAATCTACACTACCATATGATTGCAGATAAGCTTCATACTTTCTGGCACGGTAGTTCTTGAGATAAAGATTTTTTAAAAGATATCATTATTTTTTCACAAAATCATATTTATCTCCCCTTGGAAAAAGGTGTTGCCCTTTAATATTTGAACAAATCTCTTTAATGGCCCCTACCAAAAGATACTATGTGGCAAGTTTGCTTGAAATTGGGTCAGTGGCCCAAAGAAGAAGTTAAAAGAGAAGAAGTAGAAAATTGACAAGTTTTCAGACAGATCCCAGCTGGACAAATATTATATGAGGCTATATATTGAGATAAAGATTTTTTAAAAGATATCATTAATTTTTCACAAATTCATATTTATCTCCCCTTGGAAAAAGGTGTTGCCCTTTAATATTTGAACAAACTTTAATGGCCCCTACCAAAAGATACTATGTGGCAAGTTTGCTTGAAATTGGGTAAGTGGCCCAAAGAAGAAGTCAAAAGAGAAGAAGTAGAAAATATGACAAGTTTTCAGACAGATGGAGCTGGACAAATATGATCATAGAGGCTTAGGTGAGCTAAAAATACTTAGGTATTGAACATAACTATAGATTAAAACAAAATTTTGTTTACTTCCAGATTTAGTATAGCCTTGTCCATCTAGACATGTAGTGAGTACTATGTCTTTTAGGTTAATAGTTTCCCAGTTGTACAGTCACTCCCCCCCCCATTACAGACATTGTGTACTTACCCTCTCCAGAGGAATGGTTTCATACTCCCACTCAGGTTCCCCATTCATCTACAATGTCAGCAAATTTTACTATTAGTACTTAACAAGTATATATCATATTATTTTTAATTCACTCATAAATCAAGTCTTGGAATATTACTTTTAGATTGAAATACAATTTCCCATATAAATTTATAATGGCAATTTACCCCTTAAAACCAAGACAACTAACAAAGTAATAAAAAGAGGAAAAGGTATATATAAAGGTACTTACATAATCTGACTCTCCTCCTTCGGATCCTTGGGGCTGAAAAAACAACATAGCATAAGATTATAAACCTGTGCAGTAACACAATGAATCATGGCGGCTTAGGAAGCCAAGATGTGTTTACCAAAAATTGTTTATTTTTGCACACTGCAACTATTACTCAGAGGACGAATGCAAACTTGGCAAAATTGAATCAGATTTATGAAAAATATGAAGGTTTTTTCCCCTCTCTTCCAAAACTTGCTAGAGGGTAGGGTGGAAATGGATGAACTTGATTTGAGCCCATGTGGTCAACACTGGCTGCACTCTCTGACTACCAAGCGCATCTTATGTAATACGCAATTGTGGAAAATACATCATACAAAATATGAAGTACAATGTGCCATTTTTGGAAGAAAGATACAAAACCTATGAATAATTAACAGAAAACCATTAGCTCAGGAGCCCTCCTTAACACTCAATAACGGATCTGCAAACCCTCATGGTAAATATTTGATCCCTTTGATAATGGATGAATTAAACACAACTCAAGGCCAAAAAAGATCTACCATCACCTCTCCTTCTTTTTAGCACCTTCCCAAAATCTGGGATTTCCCAAAGGAAAACAATACGTCAGAAAAATTCTCCCGATTCTTGCATTGACTGTTCTGAACTTGCCATACTGAGAAATTGTAAGGATGTACAATAAAAAACCTATAAAGACCATACTTAATAGTATTTGAAAACAATAAAAAAACACTTTGTTTCATATCTGAGAAATTGTATGCAACTTTTATGTTTGCTTGCTAGCTTTCCAATAATTCATTCATAAAAGATTCATTGATAATAACTTTCCTTACTATTGCCACAATTTCGTGAAAAAAGAAAATTAAGTGTATATTTATATGCATAAAAGCAAAAAGATGTTCCTGACAGTAAAATGAAGTGACAAATGAATTCTGTTATCTCTTGTTTGATAGTGGGTGGACAACTCATCATTGTCTACATCACTGTGTACCTTGCCAGTACTACAAGCTGCATAATCTGAATACCTGCATCAAAACAGAACTTGGCATCATAGAATCTTCTCTCTCTCTCTTTCTTTCTTTTTTATTCCATGGGAATGAACAGAATTACTCTGTATTTCAGATTACCCCTTGCTAGGTTACGCTGAACAGATACATTTCAAATTCAAGTCTTAAATCTGCCAAGGGGAAAAATCCATACAACTCCAGCAGAGAACGCTGACAGAATTCATTGTAATGGAATGGATAATGGCAACACACACTTATAGGCCAACTTAGCAGTTAATAGAGAAAAAACAATGGTCAAAAAATTCTCTTATGAAACACAATAGCATTTATAAAGAAAAGTGTGCCCATTAACCTTATTAATTGTTTTTGCCGTAGAGTTTGTTCTGGCCATGTGATCAATACCAGAACATCTTCTGACAGCAAATTTCTTAATCAATACAATAAAGCAGTGAAGGGTGCATGTTAACAAATTAATTTAGCTTCCCTTTTCCTCCCAAAATACTTCAGCTCCCAATCAAGATAACCATAAATTCAGATTACACAAAGTTAGGGTGATCTGATTGCGTTGTTCTTTGTGACCTTAGCGACGGCCTCGGTGCCCCTGTAAGTAATTTTTTATCTACGTTCTGACCTCAGCCCTTACCTGTCCCTGCGGATCCTGGTCGTACATTATCATATCCACATACTTCTTAAAGCTGACAGACCGGACCCTGTGACCGCTGCGGAGGTGCCACCAAGAGAACATAGTGGGTGACCATGGCCCCCTACTGCCACTAACATTCCACAAAACACTTAAAGCCCAACTCAGTATCTCCAGCCACTGAATTATCACCACAACAGAACTGATATAGTGTGAAGTAGGTAGTTAGAAGATTTCATTAGGTGACACACATCAATATCCTTCTCTCGGCTGAACAACTCTAGCATTCCTACACCACATTTAAGCTGTCTGCTGCTATCATTTATGTCAACATGCACAAAATCACTCTATTTCTGAATCCCCAAGAAAGTCTTCTCCTCAGCTGCTGCACACAAAAATGACATCACATGGTGGACCTATTAACAGTTAGAGATCAGCCTCCCGTGAGTCGTGTTCTGAGACCACCAGTGACAAGGATGGTGAGTTATGAGCTCAATACACCGAAGGAAGATAAACTTTACTTCTGGTTACCCCGGACTATATAAATCAGAGGTTTGGATCCCTGGCAAAAATCCGGCATTCACTTTACTTCTTGCTTCATTAAAAAGGAGGACATTTTCCCCTTGTTTTATTAGATAAATGATTGTCAGATGTCATGTACAATAACCAATTGTCCTCCCAATCTTATTGATGACCCAAAGAAGGTTATCCTAAACCAACAAAGACCAAAAAAAAAATTTCCTACCAACATTGATTTTCTTATTTTAAAATAAAAGTTTCATCTATGGTATCGGCTATATTAATTAAATAAATCCTGACAATTTCGATAAGAACACTTCATGTTTTATTAGGCTATAATGCATGTTTGTTGCCATGGTAACCACCATACACTAATCCAATCGACTGCCTCTCCGGTCTCGGTGGGGTCAGAACCATGGGAAGGCCCGTCACGAAACAATGGTGAATTCACAACAAAACTTGTCATACTGGCAATGACAATCAAAGGAGAGGTGGTTAACTTTTAGGAGAAGCAATTTCACTTTTTTTTCCCATTTGTCTATCACTTGCTACTATTACTGTGATTACCTGATTATCAACACTTTCCCTTGAGAAAACTCAAGTTGTGCCACCCATTTTTTGTTTCAATATCAAAAATTTTCAATGGAAAAAAGATGAAAATTTAATGAATCTGCAATCACTGTCACAAGAAAGTAAACCTGTTACAGGGTTATATGTGAGAGTTCTTTGCATCCTATCTTCAGTTATACAGACTCAGAGAGTGTATTAAGAACTCCTACACAAATATTACCAAAAAACATGGCAAAGTATCATCAGTGATAAAATCAGCAATGAAAATGGCATTTATCATCTGTTACTGTACTGAAATATTAAGGACCAAAGCCATACTGCAACAAAGACCACACTGAGGGATATAGATTTATGGGTGTGGTTTGAAGGGTGAGATTTTGATAAAAGAATTTTTTCCCAAAAATTCAAACAAAGTAAAAAAGAAGAACATGAAGTACACACAACCTTCAAAACAAACATCACTTGCAGAAGTGTTAATCTCCATACATAAATCTTTAGAAGACAAGATAATACAAATTTTTTGCAAGTTATTTCTCTTTGTCCATTCATTTTGGGTTAAAGAGGTAGAGAACATATCTGCATAAAAAATATATTGAACACTGGTATCAAAATATATCTGCCTGCTAAAGCAACAAACCAAGTTTAAACATTATCAGACAATCAGGCGTAAAGATTATCAGGAGAAACAGAGAAAATTGTGGATGTATGAACACAACACCCAGCATGTTTCCTATAGCCTACCTGCAAATCCTTGCTGGCCCCTAATTAGTGTGTTGTCAAAAGCACAATTTACCAACAACTCTATCATTATTTAGTATTTCAAATTTTCATTGGTATTCTTTACTTGAAGGATAACATATACTTTCTGACAAAGCATAGCATAAAATCTAGAAAAATATAAGTGGCAAATAAGTTTACAAAACAATGCCCTTGAAAATGATTGAATCACTGCATGAATACCAGCAGTAACTTGAAATTCCATTTTATTCTTAATCATATGTCAAGTCACTGCACCAAAAAATGACAAGTACATGGTTCAAGATCAAGATGTACCAATTTACATCAAAAAATAATTGAAGATGCATGCTGTATTCAGTAAAACCATGGCATATACTATCTATACTGAACATTTACATGTGCAGAAGTTAGATTTCTCAGGAGCAAATGTGCAGTACATTTGGGCAACACATTTAATCTTTAGAAAAGGCAAAAATAGCTAGATCCTCTACCAAGTAGTGGACAGTGAAGACCAAGTGTTGGGGAGGGCAGAGATTTCCTGGCGCTGGAGAGAGAGTGGGGAATATAATGTCTTTATTTCCCTCTCTTAATCAATAGTCATTGTCCCCGAAACACAATCAGAATCTGACATTTGTAGCCATTAGAGTTAGATTGGAAGAAGTCTTTTTACACTAATGGAGTCTTGTATACAAGCTTAATGAATTGTTAAAAGTGTTTCTGACCACAATGATATGAGGTGTGAGTCGTTCTTCTGATCAGTTCCCATCACATCTAGCGGTTAGTGCTGAATTTTATTTCTGTAACTACATAATTATTCATCAAATGATATTATCTTCCCAAATCATGGCTCTAATCACAACTGTGGACATCCATTAAACGATAAAAAAAAATCACCTTGTTCAAAATTTAGCCACTGAAATACATATGTTTCATTTCAAATGTATTGATCTAATTTTGAAATAGAATGTAAGTATTAGACTTTGTTCATTAACAGACACATTGAGGGCTCTGGTACAGAGACAAACACTTGTCCCTTAAGATGGATGTTAATTACAAAATCAATGATCTGGTTGAGGCCTTGATCAATTATCCAGCATGTCTGCCTCTCTATAATGTGTAATTACACTTAATTCCGACTTAAACACTCCCCTCTTTACTCCTACCAAGTCAGGCTTTCGCTTCTCATATCAGATGACTAGAACAGCTAAAACATGTAAAAGGGGGACAATTCAGATGACATTGCTGAAAAATTTACAGGTGGTTTAATGCATAACTGACTTAGACTGCATTATCAGTTATTTTTAATTCTATGAAGTCTGTAATGCTGGTTCATCCAAATGTTTACAGTAGGATCCCCCCCCCCTCAACATAACCATACTCTGATAGTTACAACATGGCTTTTATTTAATATATATATATATATATATATATATATATATATATATATATATATATATATATATATATATATATATAGGACTCCAAAGTGCGATGGAACTCCAAAGTCCGATGGTCACGCCAAAGTCCGATGGTCTGCGCCAAACCCAAGACTAATCTAAATCAGTCCAATAGTGTGCGAGGACTAACCCTAATATTTCTCGGGTGGCTTCGAAGAAACATCTTAGTGTTTAAGGACCAACCCTTATAACTCGAATGGTGTACGAGCACTAACCCTAATACCTCTGGTGGGTGAAAACAAAAAGCAATATCAGTAAAAACGTGTATGTGAGACGAATACTGAATCAATGGATTTTGAGTGCAGAATAACGTCATGACGTATGACTATTGTGACGTCATAAACATTAATTGTTCCTCCGCACCATCGGACTTCGGCTTGTCAGACCATCGCACTTTAGCGTCGCGCGTCTCATAGGAAACGAGCCATCGGACTTTGGCGTGACCATCGGACTTTGGGGTCCGTAAAGACAACGAGCCATCGGAGTTTGGCGCAGACCATCGGGGTTTGGCGAGACCATCGGACTTTGGCGTCACCATCGGACTTTGGAGTCTTACATATATATATATATATATATATAAAAATGTGTCTCAACATTTATACACCTTTATGTGCCAAACAAATGTTTAAAAATGGAAGAATATAATCTTCACTAAACAAACAAATGGTACAGAAATTATCTGCAACTTGAATAGCTTACTGGTGGAAGTAAATTATAGTCATATGGACCAATGACAAGATCACAGAGGGGTGATCATCTGAGACTTGTCTAACTTACAGAAGGGAAGGGGGGGGGGGGGGGTAAATTATCTTTGTACAGACCAATGACAAGAGATGGAGGGGGGGCTGAGACTTGTACATGTATAACTTACTGGTGGAGGTAAATTATCTTCGTATGGACCAATGACGTGAGGTTTGCTGTTGGTGTCATTTCTGAGTTCTGGGGGAGGGGGAGGCAACTCTTCATCCACTGGTGCAACAGATTTCTACAAAACAAGAGAACCGATCTAAATATTACCCTTTTTTCAATGCATTTTTTCATGCATTTTGCATGTTTATTGCCTAATGATAATATTATTTTGTATAATTGATAATATCAAAATTTACCCCAGTTCAGTAATTTCTAGGCCATAAGCAACAAATTAAAATAAATATATCTCATGCTGGAAATGAAATAATAATAAGCCCGTTATTCCTAAACACAGCTGATAATCCTTGCTTTGTGGAGCCCCCATTTCATGTTTTACCTCTATTTTGGGCTGTACTACACTGGTGATGGGGGGTTCCCTCTCCCACTTGCTGGCTATCTGTAGGGTCTCCAATGTCTTCTGTTGTGTAGATTTACTGTCGTCTAGGAGAGTGCACTCATAGAATTCCTGTATGTCTGTAAAATACAAATGAAAATATATAGCAACACTGCACTATATGTATGATACATGTATTTATTCTACATGGACATAAAATAGTCTTCTATTAATTTATTATAATAATACTTTCCTCATAGTTGCATTCATTTTGAACATTTATGCATATATGCATCTTGTTGATTTGGTTGATAAATTCAAACTACTCTTAGACTAATAATTTTAATGAACACCATGTATGAGGTTTTGGTTCTTTTTGTTGATTATTTTTTACGATAAAACCTCAGGTGAATCAGAATTCAGAAGATAAATATTTGTTTTTTCTGAATATGCATTACTCATTTAGTTGACATCCAAATCTGCTACAGATTCTACAGCCTACATTCAAGTCATTATTAGGAAAAAAATATAAATAAATGACCAGGGCAAACATTGAGACAACACACATTTCCTGAGTCACCCAGTGAAGCTATTTAAACTGACAGGATTTATGGCCTGGGAAAATTTATATTCCGAACTGCAAATACTATTTATCTTAGTGTCCAGGCACTTATGTAGGTTGCCTAAGGTCAACCTTACAGGTAAACAAAGGTAAGAGGACAGGTAAAACAGGACAGGTATTCACTCAGTACATCATTAACAACAGGGGGAGATGTAAGAGTTGCCCCTTACATTGTAGCTACTGTTGATTGTCTGAGATCATATGTTCAGAACATTTCTATAATCTATAGCAATATTGATTAGCTTGGCAAGTGTTTAAGGCCTTTGTTTCCTTTTTTTTGATATATCATTTGATATATTGCTTAAACCATACAGCTATCATATATAACAACCAAAACATGAAGCATTTCATAAATCAAAATAATTTTTTTTCTGTCTTTGCATTTTACATCTTTTTATGTTTCCCCTGGGTTAAGTGTGATTTAATATTAAAATCCTTGAACTTCAAACATACATGCCTCTGTAGTTGATTGCAAAAGCCTTGTCAAAATATATAGGTAAGAAACGTACCAAGGAAACATAGGAAATACACATAAAACCTCTAATAACGTCCACGGCTGGGTGAACTCTTGGCAGTGACACAGTTGCTGTGACCTTCAGTTTGACATTGAGTTAACATTTTATGGTCTGCTAATACCTCAGTAACTCTTTAAACATTTAAGAAATAGATTCTTATTGAGGAAAACAAAAATAAACCAAAACAAATGGTAATATCATATGTTTATAATAAAAACAATTTTGTAATAATGATCCCAATTTTTGGTCCATTTCATTAAACTTTAAAGAACAATATTCAGGAAAACCTGCCAAGTTTTTGGACTGGTGGCATAGACCCAGACAAATTTAGTGTGTAGAAAAATATTCAGAGTCTGTCACCTGATCGACACCTAACTGAAATTAGCTACACCAATCCTTGAACTCTGACCTCTAAATCAATACATCATCAGGATTCTATATATCTATCATACTACATCAATCTCAAGTCTTTCGTCTTGCTTTGTGCTGGTCTTTTTGTCAACATGTTATTATGTTCCCCAAACGGAGTTTGGGAACATATTGTTTTTACTCGGTTTCTTATTATTATTATTATTATTATTATTATTCTTTTTTTTCTTCTTTGTTCTCCGGTACTTTTTTGTCCGCGAGTGTTCTCAGAAACTGTTCACCCAACTAAGCTAAAACCTTTTTAGGGTTAATAGGTGTGTAGTGTAGGTGTGCGGAACGAAGGTCATTTTGCGCGCATACGCATGCACGTGCGTGCGCGTGAAATGAGTGAAATGACCGATATACTTAATATCGCTATAACTTTTACATTTTTTAATTAAATGATTTGAAACTCATTATATAAAGATATATTAATAGTGTAGATAATATGACACTGTTAAATTAGCACGAACTCACGCGCATGCACGTGCACTTCGCTCTGATTGGCCGAAACAAAAATCTCAATATCTTTTCTGTTTTTTGACGAAATAATATGAAATTTAAAATATAGGTATACTTTAGGATGTTCTACAATATTGTGTATAAAAATTGTCATGAAAACACGCGCATGCACGTGCGCTGCAATCTGATTGGCTTAAACTTGAAATGGCTATAACTCCCTTATTTTCCAACCAAACAGGATGGGATTTAGAACATAGACAGATATAATAGACTCCTACAAGAAGGTATGGTCATCATGCACGTACGTGCATGTGCGCTTCGTTCTGATTGGCTGAAACAAAAATCTCAATATCTTTTTTGTTTTTTGACGAAATGCTATGAAATCTAAAATATATACATACTTTAGGATGTACTACAATATGATATATAACAATTGTCGTGAAAACACGCGCATGCACGTGTGCTGCAATCTTATTGGCTAAAACTGTAAATGGCTATAACTCCCTTGTTTTTCAACCAAACAGGATGGGATTTAGAACATAGACTGACACAATAGACTCCTACAAGAAGGTATGGTCCTCATGCACGTACATGCACGTGCGTGCATGTGAAATGAGCAATATTAAAATACACTTAAATGAGTGTATTTCCTAATACTTCTGGATTAATTGATTTGTTATTAAGTATATTAAAATATATATATAGTGTAGACAAGATGATGTGGTCATTACGCACATGCATTCAGATGAGCACGCGTGCAATGCTAAAATTTAAATACATTTTGTATTCTTCTGGGAAAACGTTGTTTAAGTCTAAATTGCATAAAGTGTGTCTTACTTAATAGCGCTTACATGGAATACGGCACCCAAATGGAGTTGGGGAGCGTTTGGGGAACATCTGTAACGGTCCCCGTTACAATTAGCCCTAGTTATATTTGCTTTGGATACATAAGTTACCATCTGAAGCTTGTTCAATCTATTATTTGATTTTGTTAGAATAGTCAACACTCTTAGGTTCTAATCTAGGTATAGTGAACCATTTCAAATAATCTATAATCAAAATCTAAACAAATAGTCAACATAATTGCAAAAACTTTACATTTCACTGACCAGAACATATTAGATAAAGATTTTCAATCTGGAATTCGTACCAGACTACCAGTCTCTTTTTAAAGTAGCATCCCGACTAAAATAGGAAAAAATTTTCATATTTATAGAATGTATATATGTCTTTTTTTTTTCTCTTATGGCCTCTTTTAAAACAATCAGGATTTATTTAACGGATTTAATAATAAAACACCTTTTTGTAAAACATATCTCATGTATATTGGTGATATTAATGACAACTTAACCACAAGTATTCATGTACAGCTTGGACCACCCTTGACCCTACTCCTAAGGACCACGCCCCTTCCCCCACAAAAAAAACAAACAAACAAACAAACAAACAAACAAAGAAACAGGTACTCTAGCTTTTAAATACAGCATATACTTTAGGAAATCCTCTTTATACATTTTTACTTTTTTCCATTGAAAGATAAGACTATTGTATTTGATGAGCTTTTGGGTTTTTCACACATTCTGAAAGAAAAGTTCATTATGACCAATGACAATGGTGTTGAAATTTAAAATGGCCTAAATGGAAAAACTGTGGTGCATCTATGGGCCAAAGAAAAAAAGAAAATTTGCAGAAATTATGCATGTAATCATCCAAACTGGAAAGATGCTCAAGACTAGTCAAGATAAACCCTGGTCCACGACATGTAAAGATTCCCTTTCATTATAGGCAAACTGATGTTATCCCACTTTTTCTTCTCTGTTAATTATAGATAAGAAGAATAGCTCCAACTTTTTAATTACTCTCTGCAAATGCTAATTAATATACAATATCAAATGCATGTTAGTTCCTCAGATCACCATCAAGCAATCATTCAGACCATTTTGTTCAATGATGTACACAAGAAATCTCTGCTACCAAGTAGAATAGAAGATCTCTAAAAATCTAACAATTATTTTGTTTTTTCCTCAACAAAACACAGGATGCACATGGAATGTCAATATGTACTTTATCTGGACTATCATCTCTCTTTCCATACCTCAGAACCTAATACATATCTTTCCAATTTAAGTGTGAAAATATCAAATCTATGACTATTAATACATGCCACCGTCAAAAACTATCAAGATGAAATACAGTAATTGTGACAGTAAAGACCTGAACAAGAGAGCAGCCTCGGCTAATTGATTATCCTATTTACACAAACATAAGTGATGGAAACAAATTTAGGCACTGCCATGCCTCAGCTGTGACTATTTGGGGGCATCAATCATGGCTGATATTCAGTGTCTCTAAATTAGTTCAGATCCCATTTTGAGAGTCTTACCCAGTAGGGCCTGGAAGAGCTTGCTCTTGAAGATCCGGATGACCCGTTCTATCGCTATCTTTAGCTGCTTGTCCTGTGTCTGTGTTAGCCTGGAGTGGTAGTCCTCTAATAACTCCAGGGCCCGATGAGCATCTACAAAATAAGTAACAATGCAACAAAGGATATATTTGATTTAGGCTCATATCATGCATATCTGGGCTGCAACTAAAATACTAGTGTAATCCGTATGGGTATAGTCAATATTCAGAAGTTTAGACAGGGGCTCGAGAATTTGTATTGAGAATTACCAACTCCGTTACTGATATACGGATTATCACAAAATATATGTTATAATATTTTTAATATTTTCAAAATATACTGCCCAATAGGTTCTGACAAATGTACAGGAAACTGACCCATGTTTCTGTTAACATTAACAAGTCAACTAAAATGGTCTGTATAAAATTTTGCCAAATATGTCTAATAAAGCAATAGCAGCATTCCGTTTTATTTTCTCAGACTGAAGTAATTGGTCTGGCCCCATGTGTGCATTATGGGGGTCACATGTGAATGTCTAATCAAAGGACTCTTGTGTTCTTCACTGACTGTTGTTATATTGACTTGAATTGTACCTCTTAGAGCAAGCAAACCTGTCAAGGTCACAAAAGAACAGTCATCTATCAACAAAACATGTGTTTTTATGACACTTACATATATGAAAAGGAAACTCAAGAAACATATCTTCCTCATACAATCTGAATCTGAAAATTAGGCCTAATCAATTCTTGAATTGTAATTTGTATTCATCCATTTTTCCCTAAAGTATAATTCCATATTAATTTCTCTAGTTAAATTAGGTAAATAAAATACTTTTAACAATCATGATCTGTGTTTGAAATGCAATTAATTCTCTTGAAGGAGCTGAAAGAAGATATCATAGATATATGTACATTTTGTACACCATTCAAATCTCTTATGTTATATGATCAATTTGGGCGATACTTCTAGAAATAAATTATAGTGTGTTAAACATCAAATAGTTCGTTACATTGAAAAACATTAATTTATTTTGCATTGATAACAATAATAATATAATATTTATTTAAACTTGGCCTCGGTGTTGATAATTGTGCTCTTTGTATAGCTTTATCATAAAATTAAACCACCCCCTTCCCGTCATCCCTACAAATTAAAGATGTCGAGAAAACATAAAACTTCCTTCATTTCAAAATATCAGTGTAGTTACAAACTACTACTAACTACAAGACATGTTCATTTTAGATCCAATACCTGTCATGTTTATTATTAACATATTATGGGTCAACAGAGACCAAGGTTGTACAGCCTCAAATACATTCATATTCACCTAATACATAATGACCAGCTTATTTACATCAGATTGTAACAGCACGTGCGCTTTGTTTATCCCAGTGACTACAGAGTTTAGCACTGTGGTCTGTAAACAACATCGCAATGACAACACAGACCTTGTTTTCGGACCGGCATGGTGATTCCGAGGGTTATTCCTCGCAGCCTAGGCTTGCAAAGCACCTGCTTCTAAATCTAGAAGACAGAGGAAAGGTGGATCTCGTGCAGAGTGAAGGGGCGACGTGCAAAGTGCGCGGGAAATGAGTTAAACATCCAAGGAAGTCACACAGGAAACGATGAGATGCGTATTTACCATTAAAGATGGCGGATTACTCGAAATAATTGTCACGTGATTGAGGGAGAAGTCATTACTTCATTACATTTTACTTTGTTTGTATTATTTTATTTCATCTAATTCTTGTATTTATGTGATTCACGAGTAATTTCTAATCTGTTGAAATGAACATAATATCTAAAAAGTAATTGTTATGAATAATGCTGTGGAGTTAAGCAATGACGTACAAATAACCACTCCCTAACATTTTGAATGGGTGTGACAGGTGGGATATGACCTGCTTATAAAATTCCTGTCATATCTGACAAATATACAAGCAACATAATCATGTAAAAATGTGTTATACACGTCCCTCAGCGGTTTAATTTAATTTTGCTTTGGAAATTGGAGAAAATTTTACACATGCTTTTTAAATGAAATTTATTTGTAGAAAGGATAAAAATTCATTATTATCGAACTGGTGTGAAATTATCCAAGAAATTTTCTTTAATAATTTGTTATAATGACGCTTTACACAACTATTTCAAAGTAATTTTAAATTGTTACTGACGTACTGTCAGAAAGGATTTTTTTTTAAATACACACACAAATAAAAATTCGTCTCATTATCTCGCAATAAGGAGACATTAATATTTTTCTCTTATATGAAAAAAAAATGTGAAAAATTCCCCTTAAAATTAGCTCACAGTAATCGCTGACCGGTGCACCACGCAGAAACATTGTTAATTATAACCAGAATTGTACTCCTCTCTGAAATATTTCCACAAAGTAATTAACTTGTGGTTTAGACAAAAAATAGCTAAAAAAAATCAACGGAATATATCAGTTATATCTGTCCAACTTATACCTACAGCTCCCTTTCTAAGGGGGAATAAAAATCTTTAAAATCATATACATGTCACTTTTAAATAGTATTTTTGATATATTATATTATTATTATATTTTCAATATTCCCAACAATCATTTAAATTTGAATTATGAAACCTTAACTGGATTTAAATTCTTAACCTTGTTAAAATCCTTACAAATAAAGATATTTATACAAATAGTTCCAATAAATGTTCTTCCAAGATTCTTTCTTTACTCCTCACCAAAACATCAGTAAAGGAAAAACTTCAAAATTCTGGGCAACAATATAATGGAAAAGTAGTCTTAGTCAGATGTTGGATTTCCTATGGGCACTAATTGTGACCGGTAATTTGAAGACCTTTTCATGTATTTGAAACAGAATTTCAGCAAAACCTTCTGCATATACCGTATATATATAGAAAGAAAAAGTCTCTTGTTAATTGTTTAATTTTAAAAGAATACACAATAAGTTTAAAAAACATTGAATTTCCTTCTCCCAGGCAAACTACATGTACATGTATTTAGCGAATTCAAATCATTTAGATCAATCAAGAAATTGTGTCGAATCTGATTAATACTTTTTTCTAAATTTGCTATACATTTTGTTTCACATATAAAACCCCAGATATATATCCCAAAAGGGGGATGACTTTTCGTCATTTTCAACTTTCGTAGAACTTTCAGTCAGACCACTAAATAATTGGGAATCAACGCAAAATCACAAATATATATCATCATCACGAAATTTTATGAACCTCAGGACATTCTCTTTAATCATGTTTCCCCCAATCCCTTTTAGTCAACTGTCAATGTCTTCATTAAAACTTTTCCGGATCAGAAAAATATTTCGGTCATTTTTTGAAAGGTACGGTACATGTTCTAATATTAAAAATGCCCCCCCCCCCCCCCTCAAAAGAATAATCGTGTAAAAATTATTAAATATATAGTAGTATGACTTTCCAAAACTCGCTATTTATCAATATATTCAAAGTGTCAGGAATATGTTGTCTCGGTGGGTCAAATATTTTTTTGTAGATTTTTTTTTTACGAAGGACATTGATTCGGGGAGCAGGTGTGTGAAGATGAGAACAGAAAATCAAATTGATTTTACAAATTCATAGAGCCCACTGCTATCAGTTTTCAAGTTAACTAGCATTACTTGATCTGTGGATCACAACTGAATATCAAAATACCCCGATCACATTGAATGTTTTGTCACGCACAGCAAATACATGTAAAGGTACGTTTTGTCCCATTGTCTCAAGCCACGGTCCGGAGTCCGCATAAAGCTCTCTCCAGAGTGGGAGAGTATTGTACATTTTGGCCGTGGTTTGCGACGATGGTTTTGTCCTGGAACTTGAAAACGATGTTACAATTTTCGGATCGAGTTGATCGAGTGACTCCTAACTATGCCAAAATTTAGCTGAAACGTTCAAGCAAATTCAAGAAATTATGTTCCCCCCACATTTGGTGTCTTTGTGGGTGAGATGTTATTGTCCCCCGAAAGCGAGGGGACATTAAATCTCAAAATCTCATTCGTCTGTCCATCAGTCTGTCCGTCCGTCAGTCACCAAAACTTTAACCTTGCCCATAACTTTTGATTAAGTGGAGCCTATGACTTTCATATTTCACATGTATATATTCCTTGTGACAAGACCTTTCTTTGGGTACCACCAAATTCGACCCACTTTTACATAAAAAATTTAAACTTTTACTTTGGCCATAACTTTTGAGTGGTAGATACTAGGACTTTCATATTTCACATATGTATTTTTTGTGGCAAGTCCTTTTATTGGATTTGATCAACTTTGACGTTTTGACCTTCACCTTGGAGATTTCCGTACTTATGAAAAAAACTTTAACCTTTGCCATTACTTTTGAACGTTAAAGGTTAGGGCTTTCATACTTCATAAGAGGCAAACTTTTTCCACTACCAATTCCTTTCGATATCCATTTTTTAAGCTTACAATACTATATTTCCTTCACATTACTTTACTTTACTTTAGTATAAAGTGGGGGGGACCAGCCTTTCAATGAACATTTCCAATAGTAAAAGTATTGTTGGCAAAAAAAGGCTAGGGGCTTTCATACCTCACACATGTAATCCCTGTGACAAGACCAAGAAACCCCCCCCCCCCCCCCTGGCCCCTCGGTTGCTACGTCCCTGCTACTTTGGGTAACACTATATTCAGTTTGCATTTCAGAAAAGTTTAATATTCGCTATGTTGCCATACGGTGTCATTAGTGTTAAACAAACACATCTTGTAATGTTCATTATAACTTTTGATTGGGAAGAGATAGGGCTTTCATATTTGACATGTACATTACCTGTGACAAGATATTTCCGAGCATGCTATGATTGACCTTGACCTTATTTTTTTTTAAATTCAACTTCGGTGATAATTTCTAAATGACATATGATAGGATGTTCATATTTGACACAATATATATGTCATAAAAAATGACATCTCACCCATAAAGACACCGAAAGCGGGGGACCACAATTCTTTGAATTTGCTTGTTATTATTTAATTATGGCATATTGTGTCAAATGAATGCCCTATCATATGTCATTCCAAAGAAATCACCAAAGTCAAAAAATCTTAGCATGCTCGGAAACATGTTGTCTCAGGTAAAGGCACTTGTCAAATCATTATGAAAGCCCTATCTCTTTTCAATCAAATGTTATAGGGAAACATTTTTTTAAAAGTAGGTTAAACTTCAAGGTCATGAGGCCAAATCATATTTTCTGGAAATTTCTTGTCACAGGTAAAGTACATGTGAAATATAAAAGCCTTATGATCTCTTCTCATTTAAAAGTTATGACCAAGTTAAAAGTTTTTGTGACAGACGGACGGACAGACGAATTATATTTAATGTCCCCTCGCTTTGGCGAAAGCGGGGGAGCCCGGATTATAATGATAACCGAATGTTGACTGTTTAGAAATCAAGCTCAAAACTCCCGTAAAACACTAAGCTCCGTAATCGCAAAAGAAAACTTCCGTAGACAATTCATCAGTTCATGCAGTGAGAAAAGATATTGTATGATAGCGTATTTGCTGGCATTTTTATGACATCGACCATAGAATTGAGATTTTGCTGACTTGAAAAAAAAAGTCTTCTGATATCCTTGTTTCAACAACTTGTTTGACAATAACTTGCTTCGATTTACTGAGACATTGTTTGTACACAGAGGCTGAGAGCATACTCATTGGTTTATCTTGATAGTAATCGTCAAATACTTTTATCAAAGTGTAATCGTTTATGAAAAAATGAAAAAGCTGCTTTAATTTTAACATAGCCTTAGGGACTTTGTATCCTATGGTTTGGGACGAAAGTTCAGGAAAAAAACTCTTTTGGCGGCTCAGGCGGGCTAATCATGATTAAATAAAACCTTTGTGTAAAATCAGTTATCAGAAAAACCTTGTGTTATATTTTTGAAATTAATATAATTTAACTTTACCGAGAAAATGAATGCGTTTATGTCCTTTATTTCGGAAATTTTTCATCGTTGGTTCGTAACTTACAAGCGCATCGATCTTTTCCTGTTGATGAAAGATGGCGGCAAAAATCGAGGGCTCGAAAATGCAAATACTGAATTAGTCGATTTATCTTAGCGTCGGTGTGCATATACACAATGCTGTCCCCAATTTCTTAAGTAGCTGAAGCAGCAGGTCTTGATTTCTTTCTTTTCTCAACTGTCGTTCAAACTGAGAAATTCCAGTTTTGAATTTCTTTTCAGCTATGTATACTCGATTCTCATTATATCGCGGGTTCCATTGTATCGCGGTATTTTCCAAAAAATCAGATACATAGCTCATATCATTTTTGTGGATAAAACTTTCTGTCTGTCATCTGAATGTAAATTTTTGTGATAATTAAAAAGAATGGAACATGCGTCAGAAAAGTTTTTATTCGAATAAAACGTAATTTTACAGATTTCAGTTCCCGTTTTTACTATATTTAGACCACTGAATCTATAATTTAATAAAATGCATAATAAAGTTCATGTTTTGAAAGTCTGTAGTTTGTATAATTGTTTATTCATGTAGAATTACATTGTAAAATTAAAAATAAGAATTGAATTCCGTGTCTACCACAAGTTTCCATGTTTTCCCATACCGCGATACTATGAGACTCTCCAACTTAGGAGGTAAATAAGACTTCCTGTTTCAAAAATAGATGATAAATTAAACGA